AGCGCTTTCTGCTCAGTTTCATTTGCGAGGGAAGTTGAGATTTTGATTAGTTCCACTTCAGGTGTCAGGATAGACAAGGCTTGTGCCAAGGAGGAGGTGTTTGGTCAAGAGGGTCTGTGATGTGGGACCATTTTGTGTGTGTGTGTTGGAGCCTTGCAGGGAGAGCTGGAGGTCCAAAGTGCACAGACAGGTGTCCTAGGGTGTTCACAAAAAGCACAACTTCCCTGCTTCCTTGAAAACTGGGACCCAGGCAGTTTACTAAGCCTCTTTACCTTGATTATAAAATGGGGTTGGTAATAGTACATGGTTTATAGGGTTGTTGAGAGAGCTTATTGAGATTTATCACACAACAGCTATAAATGTGCCTGGGACCTAGGAATGATTCTAGAAATGTGAGTGGTAATGATGATGAGGGGGTTGGTGAGTGGATAGAGGCAAGGAACATGCTGACACAACTCACTTCATCAGAATACCAAAGACCTGGCTAAGGCTGCCTTATCCAAAGCAGCTCCATGGCACTCTATGCAGCTTGCTGAATTTTCTGTTGCATCGCAGCTTTGTGGCCTTTGAGAATCTTCTACCTCTGTGTTTAACATGAACACAAATGCAACTCAGTATCTTTTTTTTTTTTTTTGCCTTTATGAGTTAAGATAATTTTTGAAAGGACAGAGAAATAATCAATTACAATTCAGATATCTTTCACCTGTTTTTATGTGATAAGGATTTAATCACTTCATAGGAACTGAAACTTCATTTTGAACAAGTTCATGGAAGTAAAGTCCTATTAAGCATTTGGAAGCTGGGTATGGTGGCTCACACCTATAATCCAAGCACTTTAGAGGTAGAGGCAGAACAAGTCCAGGCTTGGCTGCTTAGTGAGCTCAAGATCAGCTTGGGAGTTTATCTCAAAAAACAAAACAAAACAAAACAAAACAAAACAAAACAAAACCAAAACAAAACAGACACACTAGGGCTGGTGAGCATTTAGGAAAACCTTGCTACCAAGCCTGATAACCTGAGTTTGATCCTCAGGACCTGTGTGGTGGAAGGGGAGAACTGACCCCACAAGTTATCTTCTGATGTCCATGCCTGTCATGGACTACCCCACCCAACTACCCCACCAAAATATAAACAAATGTAAGCTGGGTGTGGTGATTCACACCTGTAATACCAGTAACTAGGGAGGCAGAGGCAGGTGGATCTCTGTGAGTTAGAGGCCAGCCTGGTCAACAGAGTCCAGGACAGCTAAGACTGTTACACAAGAAACACCATCTTGAAAAACCACAACAAACAAACAAACAAACAAAATAAAAGAAACCAATACAATAGAGCAAAGCAAAACTAAACAACAATAATAAAACCCCACACAAATCACCTCAAGAAGTTACAAAATTAACCTAAATGACAGAGTTCTCTGTAAATATAAAACATTGTTGTTACTTGTTGTTATCCAAAAACAAAAAATGTAAACGACTTTGTTTCTTTCACTACAAGTATAGACTGCCAAGGATGATAATGTTCTTCTTTTTAATCCTGAGTATGACTTCTTTTCATACTAACCCTACGGTGAAAAGTTTTTGGATAAAGCTAACAGGGGCTCCTAGAGCTTTGGAAGTGTGTATGGGGGTCTGCTGTTTTTTTGAAAAAGTTTTTTATTGCTTCTTTGTGAGTTTCCTGTCATGTATCCTAGTCCCACTCATCTCCTTGTCCCCTTATATCTGCCCTTTGCCCTTGCAACCTTGCCCCCTCAAATAAAACACACACACACATACAAACACACACACACACACACACACACACACCACCACCACCACCACCACCACCATCCCCACACCTTACATCAGTCTAGTGGCAGCTCTCTTACCCTCTTGCCCTCTGGGCTCTCTCATCCATGCCCCTGCCACCAGGGCCACGCCCCGGGTGGCGCAGGGCCCACTGCCGCTGTTGAGAGGAGGGGCCAGCTTTCCGGAGCACCACAACCAGTTCTGCTCAGCCCCTGGACATCCACGTGGTTCCCAGTGGCTGCCCCACCAGGGACATCCCCATGTTTTCTAGTGGTAATATGAACCAAGGACATCAACACTCTAGAACTGGAAGTCAAGGATGGCCATTATGTCCCTTGCTGCACTGACAGAATTGAAAGCTAAGGATAGCCACTATGTCCCTTGCTGTATTGATTACTTCTCTAATTCAGTGGTTCATATCAATAAATCTTTTTTTGTTGTTGTTGTTGTTGTTTGTTTTTTTGAGATGTGGTCTCACTATAATCTTGTCTGGACTAGAACTTAGTATGTAGACCAGGTTGGCCTTGAACTCAGAGAAATCCACCTGCTGCTGCTTTCTGAGTGCTGGTATAAAAAGTATGTGCAATTTGCATCCAGCTTAGCAAACTTTTTTTAAAAATATTTTTTTTAACATTCTGAGGCTATTATATACTGATATCATTTCCCTCTCTCCTTTCCTTCCCCAAACCCTTCCATGTACCCCACCCTTGTTCTCTTTTAAATACATGGCCTTTTTCTCTTACTGTTTTATATGTATTGTATATACATATACATAAATTTTATGTATATTCACAAATATAGAAATACAATCTGCTCAGTCCGTATAATGTCATTAGTATTCATATATTTTCAGTGCTGGACGTTAGGTATTGGCTAACTGAAGGTGTGCTCTTCCCTGGGGAAGACTATTCTTCCCACTCTCAGCGTTCCTTAGTTGCCTGTAGCTCATTGTTTTGGACGGAGGCCTTGTGAGCTTTCAGCAAACTCTTAAGGGGAGGGTTTGGGTAGATATGGCATTGCAAGCCTATAATCTCTGGACTCAGGAGGTGAGGCAGTTGGATTGAAGGTTCTAAGCCAGCCTAGGGTACATGGTGAAATACTATTTCACCAGACCAGACCAAATCAAGTCAAACCAAATCATGGAGCTTCTGTTCAGGGCCAAACAGTTCTAGAAATGTACATGTAGGTTGCCTTTGCCTGTGGTTTTGATCGTCAGTAGATCAGAGCATGAATGAAAAGCAACTCATATCCATGTGATTCCATGAAGGTATTGACATGAGCATTATGGGCTCAGTATTATCATCCTTTAGAATCTTCCTGTAGATGAAGGACTCTGTTCAAACAATGACTAGGGAAATGAGCAATTTATAGATGTCCCTTCTAATTTCTCTTATTTTTTTTTAAAATATATTACTACTACTACCACCAACAAAACAAACAAAAATCCCAACTCCCATCCCAAACACAGCCAACCAGTCAAACACAAAAAGCTTTCTTAAATACTTGCCTTGCACATACGCTGCTCTGGACTTGATTCCCAACACTGGAAAAACCAAACCAAAACCAAAACCCAAAACAACTAAACTCAATCACACTTTGAGCCAGTATACCCTTGTGCCATCCTAGGCTACATAGCGAGTTGGAGGTCATCCTGTTTCCAAAGGCAGGAAGATAAAAGAAAATAAAACAAAACAGAAACTTCTTTTTAAAAAACATTTGTTATATTAAGTTATTTGTATGTGTGTGAACGTCTCTGTGTGAATGTCTGCCTATGACTGCGGGGATCTATGGAGGCCGGAAGAAGGTGTTAGAAACCATGAGAAAGGCATTACAGGTGGTGATGTAAATAGAAAGTTTTTTTTTTTTTCTAGTTCCCAAACAATGACACAGAGACCTATTATTTTTATCATAAAGCTTCAGGTACTATAGCTGGGCAGACACTGTGCTATTCTAACCTGACTATGCTGGCCTGGCCTACTTCCCACTCATGTGGCCTATTACTTGCCATCTTAGTCTCGCTCTGGCTGTTCCTTCTTCATCTGTGTTCTCACTGGACTCCTATCTCTCTGGTCCCCACCTAAAACCCCCTCACTGGGACTGGAAGTTCCATCTGAACTCTCCTGCCCAGCTATAGCCTGTTCAGGTCTCTATTGAGCAGTCAGAAGATGCTAGAGAACAATTTTCACACAACATTGAGACAGGAGATGCTTCATAAGAATGACAATGCCAAAGTTTGACTGCAGCTGAATGTCTGAGTCAAAAATCAGCATTTAATACACAGTGCACAGAAACATTCTCCAACAGTAATGAGCAACCTGCTGGGACCTAAACTCAGGTCCTCTGTTTCTCTAGTTCCAAAAATACCCTCTTTTCATTTTTTAGAGCTTTTTAATTTTTTATTTACTTACTTGTTATGTGAATGAACGTTTCATCTGCATGTGTCTTTGCACCATGTATGTGCATGCCCTGTGCTTACAGAGGCCAGGAGAGAGTCCCAGGATCTGGAGTCCCAGATGGTTGTGAGCCACCATGTGGATTCTCAGAATTAAACCACACATCTTCTGGATGAGCCAGCGCTCTTAACTGCAGAGCCATCTCTCCAGCCCCATAAATGCCTTCTTAGAATTTCCAATGTGAAAAATAAGAGAGATTTTATACTTTATTACATATGACATTCCAAATTTGTGTGTTTCCCCATAGTTACTGAGTAATTGAAAAAAAAGGGAAAAGTTGAAAATCGTTCTTTTTAAACTCAGGAGAACTTTGATTGATTTAGTTGCTTAACCCACATGCTCAGTTAACTCCTCGAGGTCCTATCACCCTTCCACAGCCACACTCTCACACCCATCCTTGTAGGTGCTGCAGAACTTCTAGGCACTATGTACATAATTTGCCCCAGCCTTTTGTAAGGCTTCATGACAGATTAGATGACTTGAAAACACTCGGTAAGTTGCTCTGCAATTAGGAAACAATGAGAAGAGCAAGATTCCAGGAAGGCTAACAAAAAGTGTAATGGTATGATTGTGGGGTCTTGATGGATTTGGTGGTATCGATGGTACTGACGGTATTAATAGTAATAGTGGGGTACTGATGAGATTGTTAGTATTATGATATTGGTGGGGTATTGATGGGATCGGTAGAATTGATGATGAACTTGATGGGGTATTGATGATATTGATGGTCTTGATAGTGCTTACTGTTCCTTCCTCATTTCAGGGCAGGCACCTTGACAGTGGCACACCATACAATCTGAGTGAGGCGGTGAGTAATTACTTCTATTTCCAAGAGCCTACAGTTTGTGTTGGTTTAAAAAAAAAAGAATATTGATCTGTTTTATTACAGTAAGAGTAGCTGCTAAATAAAACCTCATTTACTCATCTTTGGTGAAAAAGAAGTTGTTGAAAACAGTAAGAAGTTTGAATTATAGAAGTCATTAAAAATGAAATGTGTTAAAGCAGAAAAAGCAAAGGACAAATACAAGCCCTTGATTTTGCCTGCAGAGCTGGGTGGATTGGGATAAATGACTTAATACTTTATTATATGATGTCTGAGAAGGATGGGCTTTATAGTTTTTATTGTTTCTTTCAGCAATTATGTTTTGTGGTTTTATTACTTTTCTGCATGTAGATTCACTTATCCAACAAGTGTTATTGGCCTAACTTAGGTATGTGGCAGGCACTGGGCTAGGGAGACAGGATTTACCACTGGGGCCTGTGTTTGAAGGAACCACAAACTTTTGAGATACATATTTAAAACCATGGGCAGAAAACACAATAGTGTTGTTATTTTGGGCTAGTTAAGGGGTCACACAGAATCAAAGAGTGCCCTACTTTCCTGCAAGACCTTCAGACTCAAAGAGGAAGAATTTTTCAGAACAAAGATTTTTAAACTTTTTCTCACTTGAGACCTTTTTTCTTCTGAGGAGCTTTCACATGATTTCAGGTGTACATGGGTGAATGATGTAAATTTTAATTGGAGATGGCTGAGTGGAAAAAGGTGCTGACCACTAACGACCACATGAGTTTAATTCCCAAGACCAGCATACTGGAAGGAAAGAATTGACTCCTGTAAATGGGTGCTGGGAACTGAACCTAGATCCTCTCCAAGAGTAGCAAATGCTCTCAACCATTGAACCATCTTTTTAGCCCTTTAGTTAAATATTTGATACGATAAAAAATACAGCAGCTTTAAATATTTTCAGAATTGACAGATATTTTAATTGTCAATGATAAAATACTCCTTTGCATAAATATGTAATATAAAATGGTGGAAATATATTTATGGCTATTTCAGAAATGGTTAGAAATTCTTGCCTAATCCCATGTCAAAAATCAAAGACCAGATTTAGAAAATTGACAATTACATAAAAGGATATAATGAGTCTGATTATTCCCTCTCCCTTTTTCATCTTTCTCCCATCTTTTTAAATTTTCACTTATCCTAGATTCACAATTCTTGGTTTGGTTTTATGACTGATTTACTGTAAATAAGACCTTTGATGTGACTATTGGATTGAAACTGAGTGTCCAGTGGGGACAAAACTGAAGACAATAACGTCCTCTCTTCTAATTCTTAGCAAACAATTCAGCAGTGAGGTGTAAGGGTGCTTGAGCCTCTCCTCTATCCATGTCAGGGTTTCACTGTGTATCCCTGGCTGTCCTGGAACTAGCTTTGTATACTAGGCTGGCCTCAAACTCACAGAGATCTGCCTGCCTCTGCCTCCCCAAGCACTAGGATTAAAGGCATATGCCACCAAACCCAGCTCATTATTCACTGGAGAAAGAGGCTTCTGTTATTAAACTGAGAGTCATCTTTGTCTATGGATATAAACACAAATACTTATAAAGCAGTTTGAAACTATGTCAATTTAGCTAACCAACAGTCTTCAGTTCCCTTATAACAGTGTTTTTCAACCTTCCTAATGCTGTAACCCTTTAATGTAGTTCCTCATGTTATGATGACCCCGAACCATAAAATCATTTCCTTGCTACTTCATAACTATAATCTTGCCTCTTTTATGAATCTAATATAAATCTCTGATATGCAGGATATCTGATATACAAAGATGGATCTGCAGGTAAAGGCACTTGCCACTAATCCTGATAACCTGAGTCTGAGAACTAGGACTCACATGGAAGTATTGATTCTCGCAGTTGTCCTCTGGTCTTCACATCTGTAGCACACACATATGCACACACATACACACACACAAAAAAAAATTAAAAATGTAATAAAATGAAGCTGCATTATAGAAGGACCAGAAGGTGAAAGCATTAATTCAATAGGAGTGATCTGTGTTTCAAATGTTAGACTAACTTGCCCAGGAAATGGGAGTGGAAGATGCTATACTTGGTAATTTGGTCTCGATACACAGAGAGAGAGATCATGAGCTTTTGGCAAGTGGTGAACGGCATATAAAACAGCTGAAACTGTGAATCAGAGGCCAGAGAAAACTTGGCTAGTGATCAGGTGGGTCAGTAGGACTTAAATATGCCTTGTTCATGGGATAAGGGTGAGGAGTTAGAGAAAGGAAATGCATCTGGGTTCCCAGTTTAGGCAACTTGAACATACAAATGGGAGAATATGTGTGTGTGAAGAACTCGGTGTGTTACATGCTGAATCTAAGGGATTCAGGTGTAGGTGTCTAACGAGAGAGTACATGTCTGGGTGGAGTTTGTCAGGAAGTCAGGCACTGTTATAATTTGGGGTTTATCAGCACATGGCCTGGGAGCAATGGTCAAAGTAGTCACAGGCACAGACAAAGCGGGAGCCATGAGCTATCTATCTAAGAGGAGACCAGGACAGCCATAGGAGGACATTTGAAGGCATCTTTGTGGTAAAAGCAGACATAAGCTAACAGTTTAAAAATGGTCTACCGTCTCATTTGGACACTTTACCTGGTTGTAGCCCCTGGTTTTGAGTCTTGCTGGTTGTATGGGCACAGATGGAAACCCATGATATGCTTGGTGTCTTGCTGTCCTGGACTTCGCCTGCTGCCATCTATCCAATGGACAGGGTCTTCTTGGTATCTCATCCTGCTCAGGGCTTAACTTACTCTATGGTCCTGAGTCCTGCCAGCTTGCTGTGAGTCATGTTGTGCCCCACCTGTCTATATTAAAATCAGGTCTGATTAAAATCCCACTCAAATCCTTGAGGGGCTTTTATTTTGTCAATATATTTCTATTTCTAAGATATGAGATGGTACCTTTTGTGTCAAAAGAACATCGTTTAAGTGATAAAAAGTCACACTTCTTTGTTCATACCTGTGTCTTATTGTCTCTTGCAGTGCATCCAAGGATGTCAGTTTTGGAACTCTGTAGACCAGGAAAAGTGTGCTTTAAAGTGTGTAAGTATTAATTATTGTTATGTGTTTTTTGAGACGGCGTCTTCCATAGCTCAGGCTGGCCTCAAACTCATATGTAGCTAAGGATGATCTTAAATTTCTGATCTTTTCAATCTGGTAGCCCAGATCTGTGATCCGGTCACTACAGAGGCAGAAGCAGGAGAATGCCTTAGTGTTTGAACCCAGCCTGGGAAACAACATTATGAATCCCTATTAAAAACGAATTCTCCATATATGCACCTACATAATTGTTCTTGTCTTGCCAACCTCACTTATAAAAGTCATTTATATCTATTCCCACTTCTGGCTGTGTTAATTGCAGTTTCGCAAAAGGAAGATCGTTTGTCATCAGGACCCAGTTATCCTTACATAGCATTACAAATTGCAACTTAATTATTTTTCTAGTTTATGTGCTTGATATAATTTATGCCACTTTGTAAGTTCCTGTAGGGCAGAAAGCATGCCATCTTTTTTAGACCATGTCTCCTTCACTGACCAGAGTGGAGCACAAAGCAGGAGCACTAACTCTTGCTTGAGTGCATGAGTGGGCACACCATGGGTGTTGGGTAACCATCCAGAAAGTTGCCAATGTGGGCAGAAGAACCTGCCGGCCTTTGCCAATTAGAGCCTTCTTTTTTAAAAATTAATTTATTTTTTATTAATTACAGTTTATTCACTTTGTATCCCAGCTGTAGCCCCCTCCCTTCTCCCCTCACAATCCCATCCTCCCTCCCTCATTTCCTCCCATGCCTCTCCCCAAGTCCACTAGTAGAGGAGGTCCTCCTCCCCTTCCATCTGACCCTAGCCTATCAGGTCTCATCAGGACTGGATGCATTGTTTTCCTCTGTGGCCTGGAATGGCTGTTCTCCCCTTAGGGGTAGGTGATCAAAGAGCCAGCCACTGAGTTCATATCAGAGACAGTCCCTGTTCCCATTACTAGGGAACCCACTTGGATACTGAGCTGCCATGGGCTACATCTGTGCAGGGGTTCTAGGTTATCTCCATGCATGGTCCTTGGTTGGAGTTATCAGTCTCAGAAAAGACCCCTAGGTCCAGATTTTTTGGTTCTGTGGCTCTCCTTGTGGAGCAACTGCCCCCTCCAGGTCTTTCTATCTCCCCCTTCTTTTATAAGATTCTCTGTACTCTGCCCAAAGTTTGGCTATGAGTTTCAGCATCTGCTTTGATACCTTGCTGAGTGGAGTCCTTCAGAGGCCCTCTGTGGTGGACGCATGTCCTGTTCCCTGTTTTCTCCTCTTCCAACGTCCATCTCATTTGCCTTTCTGAGTGAGGATTGATCATCTTTCTCAGGGTCCTCCCTCTTGCTTAGCTTCTTTAGGTACACAGATTTTTGTAAGTTTATCCTATATTATATGTCTAATATGCACTTACAAGTGAGTATATACCATGTGTGTCTTTGTGCTTCTGGGATACCTCACTCAGGATGATCTTTTCTAGTTCCCACCATTTGCCTGCAAATTTCATGATTTCCTTGTTTTGAATTGCTAAGTTAGAGCTTTCATTTCAGTTTGCCTCCCTTGAGCTGCAGCTGCCTTCTAGTGCATTAAGATTTTTCCAGTAGATAGCCTGCTTTATTATTTTCCTAGTGACACAAACATCATAATTTTTTGAGCAATTCACACAGTGGCTTACCTAGACTCACCTCTCTTTTTGAGACAGGGTCTCTATATGCTCTTGAATTTGAGACCCTCCTGCATCAGCCTCCATGTGCTGGGATTACAGGCGAGTGTCACCACGCTCCCAAGAGCTCCTCTTTGTTAGTCTTACTGTTGATTAATAGTGGTGGAAAAAATTTAGCGGGAGAAATGCACAGTTGAATCGCTAAAGTCATCTGCAGTTTCAGAATGTTGCGTAACTTTCTTTTCCTTCTGTCTTTCTATACAGAATGATACATATGCCACCATTTGTGAGGTGAGTGTAGAATCATTTGCGAAAAACAGGTAATCAAACTCAAGTCTGTGTTCTTAGACTTCAAAAGGCTGTTAAAGGAAGATGAAGAAACTCTCAGCCACAAACCTAATTTTATTTGTTTATTTCTTTCTATTGGAAGGGTCTAATCCCATCTTGGCACAGACATTTGCTGTTTTATATGTATCTATGTGTATATGTAAGTTTTTAATATGTATGCGTATATATACAAATTCATGCCTATGTATATGTATGTATAGGTGTATACACATCACACACACATATGTGTATAAAATCATTCCTCAGTGACCAAGATGAACTGGTTTCAGGAACTCCCCAAATTTACGAATTCTTGCATATTCAAATTCCTCATTGAAAATGAAGTAGTATATGTATTATGACCTATGCACATCCTTACATCTTTCATACTTTAAATCATCTATATTTACTTTTAATAAGTAATACAATGTAAGTGCTATAAAAATAAGTCCTTGCCCCCTTCCCTCTCCTCCTTTCTATTGAGACAGTATCTTATGTAGAGTAGACTGAACTCAAACAATCTCTGTAGCTTAGAAAAACAATGCACTCCTACTGTGCCAACATGTTCAGTTCAGTAGTTTTTAAGCTGTATTGTTTGTGAAATAAATACAAAACAAATATAGGCACACTTTAAGTATATGTACTAAGTATATTGCTAAGATGCAATTACAAATATTCTTGCTGCTCAGTTGGCCAAATATGCACAATATACAGAAATGTATAACCTGAGTACAAGGGCAGACTGTAACTTTAATCTAGTTAAAGGATTGGAAGATTGTAACTTCCAATCCTGGTCAAAGTGGATGCTGCAAAAGGAAAGAAGAGAAAAGTACACTCTGGGATATTGCTGCTGAGAGTATTTTCTTAAAATTTTTTTTCCATTTATTTATTCATTTTGTGCTTGTGTTGGATGGGTGGATGTACTCATGCACATGTGTGGAAGTCAGAGGGCAGCTTGACTTCCACAGGACTCATTTCTCTCTTTCTACCATGGAGGTTCCTGGGCTGGAACTCAGCTTGTCAGCCTAGCCACAAGCCTCTTAAATCAACGAGCCATCTGGCTAGCCCATGATTGCATTTTCTTCCTCCAAACACAGAGTGCTCTACCATACATAACTATGTCACATTAAATGACACCTGTTAGGCCAGGTGTCATGGTGAACATCTGTATCCCAAAAACTTGAGAGGTGGAGGCAGGAGGATCACAAGTTTGAGGCCAGCCTGGACCACAGTGACCCAAAATTAAAAAAAAAAAAAAACAGGAAAACAAAAACAAAAACAAAAAAACCAAACTCTAGTGAGAACCCTTTAATTTCACTCCTTTCATTCACCAAAATCCTTTGCCGACAGTGTGAATTACAGTTTTCTGAGCTTATTTGTGAAGAAATGGTATCATTTTTCAGTTTTAAAACCTGGTTATGGGATGGTAGGATGTCCCAGTGAGTAAAGGAGCTTGCTGCCAAACCTGATCGTCTGAGTTTGATATGAGGAAGCCACATGGTAAAAGGAGAGATTGACTCCTGTTAATTGTTCTCTGATCTTTATCCTTGGGATAGCATGAGCCTCCTCCTCCAGTAAACAAACAAACAAAATAATAAAGGCTTGGTCATGCTCTATTTAGATGCCTTCAAACCAGAGCTGAAACTATGTTACCTTGCTTGGGGCAGAATGTACATGGTTATCCATGAAGAAAGCATAAAGACTCCTTTTTTTTTAAACAGGAAGCAAAACTATACATTTGACATCAAACATTCAACAATCAGTGTCTATGCTGTTTGCAGCTATTTTCCCTGCCAGTGGGTAGAGGTGGGGTTTAATTTACATGAAACAGAATGAGAAATTTGCCCCAAAGGTGAACAATTGAGGATCTCCCCTGATGAGATGGAAAAACCAAATTTTCTCAGAACTCTATTACATGATTAAAGCAACATTACTCTTAAATAACACCCCTTAAGAGGTCTGTACCGGTCAGAAAAACCAAGGAAAGTGTCTCACTTGTCAATCATTGTGCTTCTTAGGGGTCCATGTTTAATAATGTGATTCTTTCTCTTCATGAGAATTTTAGCTCAGTTATCCAACGATTTTGGGAATCAAGCATTTTATCATGGATGTTTCCACCCATGGGTGCTTGGGAGCTTTGCACTATGTAGTCTTTGGAGGAAAAGCTTAAAAATGATAGCTTGGCAAAACAGAACCTAGAAAATGATGATGTTAAATGAGCTGCAACATTTGTGATCATTTAAGACATGAACTCTGTGATCATTTAAGACATTAACGATAGCATCTTAGCCTGTCGATGGAGGGTAAATGCAGACTTTTTTATTTCTGGAAGCCGTGTGTGTGTGTGTGTGTGTGTGTGTGTGTGTGTGTGTGTGTGACTTCTTATTGCTATTTAAAGCCTCTCTGTCTCCCTGTCTGACCCGAGCTGACTCCCTTTCACCATGTTCTCTGTGTCAGACACAGTGGCTTTAACTCTTCTTACAACCGTAGGTGCCCAGCCTGTCCTGCATTGGGCATCTATCTTCCCCCAAAACACCTGAACACCTGTCAGAACCCCTGCTCCTTCCAGTTGCTCAAGTTTTGGTTGAGAGTCACCTTTGTACTGTTCTAGCTGATCACATTAAAGGAAGTCTCCTTGTCACCCACCATCACTTTGATCTTCTTACTTCTAACTTTACATCCGGATCATAGGCCCTTCCCTCCTCTCCTCTGGTCTCCCATCCCTCTCCTCCCTCCCCCTCCCTTATTTCTCAGATAAGGGGAGCCTCCCCCAACTCACCCCAGTTCATTAAATAGCATCAGGATGCTTCCCCTGTGGCCTGGTGAGGCAGCCCAACCAGGGGGAAGGGATTGAAAAGCAGGCAACAGAGTCCGTGTCAGAGACAGCCCCAGTTTCCCTTACTAGGAAACCCATATGAAGCCTGAGCTGCTCTATCTGTTACATCTGTGTAGGAGGCCTAGATCCAGTCTATGCATGGTCCTTGGCTGGTGCTTCAGTCTTCGCAAGCCCCTCTGGGCCCTGGCAAATTGGCTCTGTTGGTCTTCTTGTGGAGTTCTGTGCCTTCTGGGTCCTTATATCTGATCTCCTTGCTCCTGTTGCCTCAACACAAACCAGCACTGCCACACTCAGCCACATCACTTTTCATTATCTGTGGTGTTTGTTTTAAACTTGTCATTTATTCATTTTATATCCCCTTCTAAGACAATGTAAGCAGCAGAAAGGTAGGGAACTTACCTATTTTGTTCTCTGCGAGTTCTTTTTTTAAATTTATTTTTATTTATTTATTTTTTTTTGAGAGAGGGTTTCTTTGTGTAGGCTTGGCTGTCCTAGACTCACTTTGTAGAGCAGGCTGGCCTCAAACTCAGAGAGATCCACCTGTCTCTGCTTCTCCAAGTGCTGGGATTAAAGGCCTGCACCACCATGTCTGACTTGCTGCTATGCTTTTATAGCCGAGAACAATACCCAGGACAGAAAAAGAGATTCAGTAAGTATTCCTGAGTGAATGAAATATCTTTTAGAAAAGAATGTTGCAGTTCATCTGGAGTTTGGAAGGGTGTTTCTTCTTCCTTGTGTTAAGACAATTAGGAAAGGTGCAGGCAGCCTATGAGGCTGTTTGGGGGAGCCAAGGAATAAAAAAGATGGCCTCACTACTGTGGGAAAATGGTAGTTAGGATATATTCAAAGACGGCAGGTGGATGAAGTCCTTGGGCAGAAAAATGTTAGCAGCTCAGTTTATGGGAACAGATAGGTATAAAAATCAATGCTTATCAACCTGCAGGTTGCAAAATAATTTTGTGGTTGGGATCACTGCAACATGAGGCACTGAATTAAAGGGTCACAGCATTAGGAAGGTTGGGAATGGTCTAGAAGCTTCTGACCAAGTTTCTGTGAACTGCTTTGATTCAACCAACTCTATGTTTTCTCCAGGCACTTTAGGCATGGGAAATGCTGGGTGGCCTCATTTAAAGTCTAATAGCTGACAGCTTTGCCTCCACTTGAGATAATGTTTAAACTCTCAGACTGATGGGAAGTTTATTCTATATTTCCCCTAACGAGGGAAAATCCAGAAAAAACATGGCTACAATTTCTTTTTCCTTTTTCCAGGATGTTCTATATTTCCAAGTAAATGACATTTCTAAACAAAGTCCCTTATTTCTTGGAAGAAAAATACCCATTCTATGTAATGCTTTGTTGCCTCTTGGTTTGTATCTTCTCTGCTGTGGATAGTTATGCCAAATGAGCTTTACTCAAATCTCCAAAGAGGATGTGACAACTAAATGAACCTTTAAGTTAAACAACCCCCCAGCCTGAAGCATGGTATTTGAATTAATCCTTAACTAAGCAAACACAGCCGTATTGGGCTCCACTTCCTCTCAGCACACAGCTCAAACATCTCAGAGTTAATATTTGCATGTAACAACTCCTCTTCCCAGGGCAGTTGTGTTGAGCCAGAGTTTCTACAGTCTTCCTGAGACTGACAGCAGGCTGTTCCTGGTACTGCAATTATAAACTCCCTCTCTCATCAGGGAGATTGAGCACAGCCTCTCTGGACTTTGGCGATGTGTGGATGTGTGCTTTCTCCCCATGGTTTTCTTTTCTCTGTAGCTAATTTGTTAAGAGTTACAGGCAATTTGGGTTTCAGCCCTCCAATATGTACTCTGTTTTTCCCTTTAATGAGATAAGATGTTCATTGTGATTAGGCTGTTGGAGACCTTAAAAGTCAGCATTGGTCTGAAGAGATCCATTAGGATGTTTGGGTATTGTATACTTGGTAGTCAATTTTTAATTCTAAGGGAAGTGGGGAAACACAACAAACAGACAATCAAATGTCTTATCTTGGGCTGGAATTTTAGGTTTCCAGTTCATCAAAACTTTGACCAAGATGCTAAAAATAAAGTTGAACTATTAAGTTCTGCATTTTTTTTTTTCAAATTATAGAATGTCAGGGCCATGGAATGAATTCAGTAAGTCCAGAGTCAGCTGACCTGACTCCATGCCACTTGCTTTCCACAGAGGGAGTCCTGTGAGGTCGGCTGCAGCAGTGCAGAAGGTACCTATGAAGAGGAAGTACTGGGTAAGACAACCCTGCTGATAATCTCTGCCAGCCGGGGACTTGTTCTTACGGAAAAATAAGGAGAGCCTCTTCAAACACTTACACCCCAGGACCTCAATAGCATAAAAAAATGTTTGTATATGAGACTTGTGTGACTCTCACCTATAGTCCCAGCACCCAGGAGGCTGAGGTAGGATGACTGCAGCAGGTTCAAGGTCAGCCTGTGCTGCAGAATGACATCCTGTTTCAAAAACCAAAAACTACCTCTGCCAATGTTTGTATATGAAAAGATTCTATAATTTCAAATGCTAAGGCTGTGCTGATGAAGCGCCAGTGGACTATTGGAGATAAAATACAGGAAATGTGAAACATGATTGACATTTAGGGCACACCTTGTCTTCAACATCAGAAGTATGTTTCTTTTATCTATCTACCTATCTATCTACATCTCTCTCTCCCTCTCTATCTATATGAGACTCTTATGGTCCAAATGGCCTCAGGTTTGATATGTAGCCAAGGAAGACCTTGAACTCTTAATTTTCATTCCTCTACTTCTTTTCTCCTGGGAATACTGCACCACTGTACGCAGTTTTATGTGGTTCTTGGGATCAAACCCCAGGCTCTCATTCATGCTAGGCAAGTACTCTACTGATTAGCTACATGTGCAGCCCAATTGATATCAAAGAGGGCTGCCGTTTTAATGAGATGAAGGTATCAGAATAATTTATTTAATGTGAAGTACAATCTTCAGCTAATACTTATTCAATAAAGAACCTAACTATGTACATAACAACTTGGAAAAGGCAGTAGGAATTTGTGAGTGTATAGAAGCTATGCCTCCTATGGCTAAAGAGAGAGAGAGAGAGAGAGAGAGAGAGAGAGAGAGAGAGAGAGAGCTCTCTTGACCTAATTTGAAACTAGGTTGGGTGTGCCTTAGTCTCAGTGCACTGATTCTCCAGTGATGTCTGAAGAGGCAGAACTTTGATAAGTCAGCCTGGATGTTAGTGGCTGTTTCCAGAAAATTCCCCAGGCTCTTCTTCTACTGAGAGATTTTGGCAGATGGAGACTTGCCTGGCTTTTCCATAAGCTGTCATTCTTCTCTCAGAGGCTGGTGCTTACCCCTCTGGCTGTAGGAAATTGGGAGAAGAATGTTGCTTGCTGTCCCTACATGCTCTGCCCTTTAGTATCTCCTAAACAAAAGAAACAGAAGCAATTTTGTAAAAAGGTAGAGGTGTGACAGTTAAAAAATTTTGTTGTAAATGTTAACTATAGATAAAATCCTATATTTGTGGCTTCAAAATGGTACACAGAAGCACTTCAAGACATCACAGACACAATCTACGGCATCATAGCACCCTCAGGGGGACTGCAGGACAGTTTAAGTCCTGAGGGATACAGGGCTGGGGGACAGCTACTGGAGGCTGTTCCATCCGCTGCTCAGGTGTGTTTCATCGCATAACAGTAGATCCCACCATATTCTTTCCATGATGTCATTGCTAATAAGGTTGAGACTTTCGGTGATTTCTAATGTAGCAAAAACTTCCATAAAAAACTAACTAGGAGACAGGAAGTGACTACTGCACTTAGATTACACACCCAGAGAAGTCATGAAGTATTCAAGGGGCACGTGATTTCCAGTAACATACAGTAACATTTATTTAAGGCTGAAATAAATATATAATTGAGTCCTTTAAACAGCTTGCTATCTAAAATTTTAAATTATGTTATTTATTTTAATTTTATAAGATTTATTATTTTTAATATGTGCAGGTACGTGGGTCTCTGTGTGAGTTTATGTACATATAATGGTGCCCATGAGGCCAGAAGGTCAGATCCCCTGGAGGTTGTCAGGCTCAGCAGGAGGCACCCTTACCCTCTATGCCATATTGGCGGCTCTTTCGAGCTGCCTTGTTGTTCCTTTTGAGAAAAGACTGACCTTTAGCTTAGGCTGGCCTGAAACTCACTCTATAGTGGGCCTCCGACTTGCTGTCATTAGCCTGTGAGCCTCCCGAGTGCTGAGATCATAGCTGTGAGCCACCAGGCCTGACTAAGGTGCCGCTGTTCCAAGCATCTGTTGAACTGTTAGGACACACGCTTCCAAAGTCACAGTGTTTAGAAGAGTAAATGGTCTTTGTTCCAAAGAGCCATGAAAAAAATCTACCAAAACCAAGAATGTCAGAACTAAAAAAAGGTGCAAACTTGATTCACATCCTTTTCTCATATTCCGTAATTATATTACCAACTTACTAATATAATTTTTCCAGAATATTTTATTGCCCATACCTAGGTCTGTTTGTCTCTGCTGCACTACCCCACTCATTGATTTCCGGGTGTGCTTTCTTACTTGATTTTAGATGAGTCATATTTGTTTCTATGTGTTAGGAAGAGTCAGTCGCTAACAATGCATCAAAATAATAATCTATAAATTTGTGTATGTATGGGGCATGGATGGGATATGTATGTGTGATGTACCTATGAGAATGCACATGTGTCATAGCACATATATAGATGCCAGAGGATAACCTCCAGAGTCACATAGGTTGAGGCAGGGTCTCTTTCACAGGACTTACTGGTGCTTTACTCTGTAATGCACCCTGTCTTCTACTCTAAAAAAAGGATGTTGTCATGATCTGCAGTAATAATAGAATTTGAAGAAATGCTTTGACGGTACATGTCCTGTATGCTTCTACTGTGCCACAGACATAGTTTTGGGATCTTCTCCCTTTGCTTGTAAGAAAATGGGGCCCTGAGAGAAGACTTGTCAGTCTCAGAACATTGTGTTCCTGACTGTGATAGAAAGAAAAAGACTACCTTGAATATAATTTATTGTTTGGGTGTGTTATTTAGCAAGAGAGGCCTGGGCAAAACAGGCGCACCTGTCCACAGGAGTGGGTAGTGACTGAAATGCTGTTTCCTCCCAGAAAGTACAGCACTCCCTACAGCACCCTTTGCATCTTCCATTGGAAACCACAGTGTCACATTACGATGGAACCCTGCCAACATCTCTGGAGTAAAATACGTCATTCAATGGAAGTATGACCAGCTTCCAGGAAGCTGGACTTACACGGAGGTATGTGTAAACTATTTTTTTATTTAAACAGAGGCATTTTTGTCCCTAAATTACTGAAAGCTCAAAAATATCATGCCTTCCTTACCTGTGGTTTTGGTTTCCAAAATTTCAGTTACCTGTGCTTAAAGATTTCTTACAAGTTTTAAATAGAAAATTATTAAAAAAAAAAAAAAAAAAGGTCAAAGCCAATTATAGTGGAACAGGGAATGGAAAATTGTTTAAAAATAAAAGACTGAAGTCAGTTGTGGTGGAACAAGGCTATATAATTCCATCACTCGTTGGGCTGAGCCAGGAGAATTGTAAGTTCGGGGCCAGCCTGGGCTATATAGAAAGTTTCAGGCTAGCCTGAGGTTCAAAGTAAAGCCTGCCTGAAAACAAAAATGAAAGCAAGCAAGCAAGCAAGCAAGCAAGCAAGCAAGCAAACAAACAAACAAATGGGCTAGGTGTGTTGGCATGTGTCTGTAATCCCAACACTCAGAAAGGCAGAGGCAGATGAATCTCTATGAGTTCCAGGCCAGCCTGGTCTACAAATCGAGTCTAGGACAGCCAAGGCTACACAAAAAGACCATGTCTTGAAGAAACCACCCCCAGACCCACCAAGACCACCGTCACCACTAAAATGAAACTTAAGTTTAAGTCACACAACAAGGAGGAACGTGATGAAATATGAGGTCATCATCCTTTGGCTCAGGGTATCCACACTGCATATACTACTCACTCACAGTATTGGTATTATAGTGCTTGTGTGTAGGAGCTGGTACTATCTGGAGTTTCAAGCTTTCATTGGTGGGGGAGGGTGGTTGGAGAGTATCTCCTATCGATAAAGAAAATGACTTATTGACATTAAGACATTCTAGCAGAGACCAAGCATAGTGGTTGGATTAAGTGTACCTTAATCTCTGCTCTGGAAACCTTTTATGAGGAAAGAGTGTATACGCCTCCTGTTGTTCATAATCTTCCCTGCCTTCTAAGGTGATTCCACCTAGGATGAAGGGCAGGAGGGAGATGCTCACAGGGGTATGCTCTGATTTAGAAGTGTAGGTTATGGTAGCCTTTTAGGATGTTACCTTTTAGTGAAGCATGGGCAAGTTCAGAAAGAAAAGAAAAGAAAACAGCCTCAGATACCAAGTATAGTAACATAGGAGTATTTAGGTAAATCCTTGAGGTTAAGTGCTGAATAACTGAACCCTTAGCTTTCCCATTTCAAGGAAGGGGAGAATGGTGTGAGCAGTACAGACTGAAGTACAGGACAGCAGTAGTACAGACAGAAGTACAGACAGCAGTACAGGAAGGTAAGCTCCTGGTCTGTTGCACACTCAGAAGGACCTGGGTAGCCCCATCTCCAATGGCACACTTGTCTTCCACAAGTTAACCTGAACTCTGTGTCCCGTTGGGTCATAGCGATTGGACAGATGTTGACTTTTGTCTCTCCTGGTTCTAGACCGTGTCCAAACTCTCCTATGTGGTGGAGCCCCTGCATCCATTCACTGAATATATTTTTCGAGTGGTTTGGATATTCACAGCCCAGCTGCATCTTTATTCTCCACCAAGTCCCAGCTACAGGACTCACCCTTATGGAGGTAAGCACATATATGCCATTTGCAAAGTAGGGACATTACTCTGAAGTTTAATTTGTTTTTGTCCTAACCAATGAAATAAATTGGTATTCTATTTAGTCATTGGGCTCTGAACTGTGCAACACTTACAAAATTTTCAGTAAACGAAACAATGACCTCTGCTCTTGTTCAGTCCACATTTTTTCTAGATGGGAAACGTGGTCATTGGTAAACACATAAATAAGGTGTGCTGACTAGTTATTGTTAACTTGGGACAAGCTAGAATCTCTAGGAAGAGGGAACCTCAATTGAAGAGCTGTTTTCATTAGGTTGGCCCGTGGGGGCATTTTTTGATTAATGATGGATGTGGGAGGCACCAGCCCACTGTGGGTGATGCTACCTCTGGATGGATGGTCCTGGGTTGTGTAAGAAAGCAGGTTGGGTAAGTCAAGGGGAGCAAAGTAGTAAGCAGCACTCCTCAATGGTCTGTTATGCTTCAGTTCATACCTAGGGTTTGTGCCTTGAGTACCCTTTGTGATACTGTAACTCTGAGCCAAAATAAACTCATTCTTCCCCAAGATACTTTTGCTCACTGTGTTTTTAGCACAGCAATAGAAACCCTAACTAAAACATAAATTGAGAGTAGACTGTTGCTGTGACAGATCTGGTACCAGGAAGTATGTCAGTGTGTAGGATTGTATGAGACACTGCTGGGGCAAAGGAGGATCTGTGTGTTTTGCTTCAGTTGGCACCATTTCAAGCATGGCCCTAGGCCAGTATCTGACCTTAGGTTCTAAAAGGAAACCTCATAGAATAACCAGCAGAGGTGGTCACACAATCTCTGGGACCTAATTATCAAAGAAAGGACACTCCTCAAGGAAGAAGATATTCCCAGCTAATTCCATCCGTTTGTCTGCTCTGCTTTAGACCTTCTGCTGCTGAGGAAGCCCAAGTCCTCGTTAGGTCTTCTAGACCCTGTTGTAGTGTTCTTTCCATGCATAGAATCTTGTTTTCAGACTCTCCCTTACATGTCTAGCACCAGCGACACTCTGATACTTACAGTCATGCCTGTTGCTTTATAGTCATATTTTCTCTGGCCATAAGAATTATATAATTTTAGTTGGTATTAGTGCTTTTTTTTTTCTTCCTTTGGGCTCTTCCAAACATAACCCTAGCCCCAACCATGTGGAATGTTTATAAGACAAATTATTACTTTCTAAACAAGAAATTTTCTTGTGTGTGTATGAGACATTTTGATAATTATCATATCTTGCTGTGTAGGTGGTTTTTAACTTGCTTGAAGTGGAGAGATCGTATCTGAGTGTTGATCCTAATGAGTTGCTGTTGACTTCCTGATTCTAATTCAGTGGGAGGTCGTTTCTTTTTATTTTTCCTTTTCACACAGGTGACTGAGTACATGGAGGCAAGGAGAAACACAAAGATGTTTGTGTTTGTTAATGATTAGTTTAAGAGTTTGGGAGGGATTGTATCAAAGGAAGGCCATGGGACATGTGAAAAGGCCTTTTAAAGACAACCCTGTGTGAGGGGTGAACCGTCTTATTTCTGCTACCTCTAGCCCACTGATGGTGGGCACAACATTTGCCAAACGTGTTCTGAAGGATTTGTTGTCAGTGTTCTTGTCAGTCTACTGAAGAACAAAGGTGTCAAAACACATAGTTATGTGGGAAAACTAGATATAAGAGTATTTTACAGAGCTAAGATATAATAAGTACGTGCAGAGATGGTTGGAATCTGGGCTGGCAAATAATTTGTTGGTCTTTCTGTCAGTAGCATGTAGAGTCTTTGAGTAAATGATTAATCCTTGAATTTTTGCTCCCCTCATCCATGGCAAGGGTAGTGTGTGACTCAGGTGGTCAGTCAGGGCTCCAAGGGACTTTGGAGGTCTGTAAAGGAGGTATTATCTAGATTTTCAGGGCAGATAGCAGTAAAAATGGAGTAGATCATTCCAATTCTTGGGTGTCTGAAGCCACATCTCTATCTGGAACCAGTCAGGGCACAGCTCACAGAATAAATAGCCCCATGACTTGCCTTGGTCATCTTGTGTTAAGTACTGACTCACTTTTGCGCACAGTTTCTTATTCTAAGGTGCTTTGCTCCTCTGTTCACCTCGGTCTCCAGAGGATTTTTATCAAAATATAGGTCCTATTTGAGTCTCCAATATTCTGGTATTTTGTAAGTTAAAACTGAGGAAAATGCAAGAGTATTGTTGGCATGATTTAGAGACCAAGAATTACAGCTCAAAATTTCTAATTCCTTTTCTTCTGTCACATTTCCAGTATTAATCAAAAGATCTAATTTCTGTTTAGCTTTGAAAATATTTTTTTTCATTGTTTTAGTCTAAGAGCACAGAAGTCTGCTTTTTCTCCCCCCCCCCCCTTGTCATTTTTCTTTCTCCAGTTCCAGAAACTGCACCTTTCATTGTGAACATTGAAAGCTCAAGCCCGGACACCGTGGAAATCAGCTGGGCTCCACCCAATTTTCCAGGTGGACCTATTTTGGGTTATAATTTAAGGCTGATCAGTAAAAATCAAAAATTAGATTCAGGGACACAGAGAACCAGTTTCCAGTTTTATTCCACTCTTCCAAATACCACCTACAGGTAAGAGTTACATGGTACAGATAAAAATAACACCACTATTAATGCAGGCATGATGATTATTTAGGAAATCTGGCTAAAAATCAGTTAAGTGTATTTGGAGACATGCCACTTACTTTATTCCATTGTGTTGAAGTTGTAGTTTTTCTCAAATTTGCCTGTGCATTGCATCACACAATCCTAAGCAAAAATATTTTCAGCATATCAAAGGATCCTTATAAATATGTGGCAATAATAACAAAAATACCATGTCTGCAATTTATTTAATAAAACATAAAAAATTAAGGAAGTAAAATTCTGTTAGTGGTATTTTATTTTTTTTTAACCACAGAGGATTATTTTATTATTGTTAGCTTCTCTGGCATTTACTAAGACTTCTTTAAACAAGGGGAGAAGTGGAGGTCATGCAGATAGCAGGGTTCAGCTTTTGACCTCAGTGACCCTGAACTGTTCTGTGGGGAATGCAAACAAGGACGTGATTGATGGTCATCTTGGTGCTGAGAAGTGACACAGTAACTAGATATGTGCACTACCTCACGATCTTTAAATAGACTCTCTGTTGCTCCTATATTTATTTCATGTTCACAACATGCCATGTGAAACACATCTCTCCAAATTGTTTTTGGAATAGGTTTTCTATTGCAGCAGTCAATGAAGTTGGTGAGGGGCCAGAAGCAGAATCTATAATTACCACTCCATCCCCAGCAGGTATGGTCTAGGCTTCTCCTTTTTGTTACATAAGGATAAAGGTTGACTAGGGTAAAGGTCAGAGTTCAGTGGTTGTCTGGTAGACCTCAAGATTCTTTGTCTTCATGCATGCTTTTTTTTTTGGTACCCCATAATTTTCAATTTTAAGTTATTCTACATACTTAACAAATAGAAGGTTACATAGACCATTGGTATTAGAATATTGAGATTTAAAAAAAAAACAGAATGAAAAAATTTAAGTATTTTAAGAAAGATGGCTTCAAACAAACTCTTGGTTTTAATTTAAATCACTAGGATTGATAATTTGCATTTACAAATTTTGAAGTTACCTGTAAACTTTTCTGTCCCGACATTCACGTGTACATTGTTACATCAGACGTTTTCCCAGGCTGCTTTAATGCTTTTAAGTGTTTATGAACATTAAAAATTTAAATATTAACTTTTTGAAAATTCAGTCTGTGGGTTTATCTTATTTTTTTTTTAAGTACTCCCTTTTGGTTGTTGTTTTTAAACAATTACCTTGAGAGGTTGAAGACTACTGGTACTTATAGGAGCAAAGAGTTTTTTTGAGAAGGAGTAGATATTTTTTGGGAAGAATGAGTTAGGATTCTTGACTAACTCAAAGCCTCAAAATTCCTTTAGTATGTTTTCTACTTTCACCAGATCTCCATCTGCTGACTGGACTGCCTCTCACTCCAGTCTGCACACAGCTACACCAGGCCTGTTGTATGTCATGGATCATTAGCCAATATTTTTAGCTGTTCCTAGAGTCTAAAAAAAAGAGAGGTGTTCTTGTCAGGCCTGAAGCACATCCGAAGGAGAAGTTAAATATAGAGTCGGGCTAAGGTTGCTGCGTGATTACTGCTTGCAGTTTATTGATTGTCCTGAAAATGCTATCACCCGTGGACCTTGCATCACTTTCCAACTGAACAGGATATCAGAGTTCTGCAGCCTTCAAGTTTTCTTTAAAAATGTTCCTCCTGCTTGAAATGGAGAAAAGCTGAAGGCAACACCTTCAGCATATCTTTTACTAACAACCCACTTTGAGGCTAGATCACACCTACGAAAAAATAATGCTGACTGGGGATAATGATTTAACTTCTATTGGAACAAGGATGTTAAGATGGTATAGTATGTCACACGATGTAGTCACATAGTCCTATTTGATTATAGCCATGTTTCTTACCCCCAACCATGAACTTATGGAGATTATGCCACAAATGCAATACCTCTAAGTAACTCCAGAAAATTTAGTCAGTCTTAAAAAAAAAATGCAATCTCCCTTGTGTTAAAGTACTAAAATTTTTTTGAGTTGGTTTGTGTATCGTTGGTCAGTCTGTCTATAAATCATGTTTTCCAGTTCAAGAAGAAGAACAGTGGCTTTTTTTATCCAGAAAAACTTCTCTGAGAAAGAGGTCTTTAAAGTACTTAGTAGATGAAGCACATTGCCTGTGCTCAGATACTATATGTCATAACATTACAGGTAAGTCTAACAGAGTCCTGTCTCTTCACTGTAAAAGGGAATATTTGGAATTTCTGGAAGAAACTTTCAGAGTACAGGAATTTTAAAAGTTGCTCTTGGATCCCAGTGCTAGGGATGGTTTACCTGTTTTTGAGCTCTTGATCACCGGGATCCCAGATATGCCTGAACCATCGCAGGATGTTGCCAGTGCTCAAGTTGCCCTCTACAGCTTGACGACACCCATACTGTAGTCATAGAACAAGAAGAAATTGAACTGAGTACTGACCTGGAAGCCTTATCCTTTCTGCATGGCTTTCATAGTGCTGAAATGTACTATGTACTCTATAGGGCAACTGTAGTGAAATAATTTTCTGAGTGGCTAAGTAGTTATATGTATAAACTCACAGTAATTGTGACCAAATGCATAAGAACTATGCATGATCAAGCCAGACAAAATCCCAGCATGGATGGCGGAGGGTTCAAGAAATCCTATATCTAACTGAGGGGCTATTGACAACTGATGGCTGCTGGGAGATGGAGGGTTACTGTCCTTTGCTGACCCACGAGAGGCTACTCGTAGTCCTAAATCGTCCCTTGACCATGCATATGCTGAGTTCCCTATGAGGACTCAGAGGACTTGAAAGAAGAGAATGCATGAAATTAGGAGGGAATAGTGGTTAGTATAGAGGAAGAATTGGAGGGGAGGAAATGGGAAATGGATTTGATCAAAAAACATTTATGAAACTCTCAAACAATAAAAAAATTTCAAAAATGCTTTTGTGTCTGGGGATGTAGCCCAGTGATAGGGAACGTGCTTAAACATGTCTGAGGCGTTCCAACATGAGACAAACAGCCCCACAGCAAGGCTACTCTACCCCCGATTTTTCCAATTTTTCTGGATTTACTACCTTGAATATTAGTGGACTATATTATTATAAACTCTTGTAGCATTATATGTATGTCATGAAAATACCCAACAGATTTGCACATATAAGTTATACGTACTAGAAGAATTTAGAATGTTTTAAATTTATAAGAACTTCTATTTGACTCTAGCAAACATTAAAGACAAATTTACTCCAGTCTCTGTCCTTGTGGACAGTTAAGTGTGTGCATCTACTCGTCTGGCTCTTGCAGGAATCTCCGTCAATGCCCAGCAGCAGGTGGTTTATTTCTCAGAAGGAACCGTCATATGGATGAAGAGGGCAGCCAACATGTCCGATGTGTCTGACCTGAGAATGTTTTACCGAGGCTCAGGTCTAATCTTTTCCATCTCCATAGACTGGCTTTACCAGAGGATTTATTTCATCATGGATAAACTGGTTAGTCTGAGTGAATATAGCTAGTGATCAATAATAAGCAGATGGTAAACACAGTTTCATCCCACTGACTACTTACTTCAGATAAGAGGTTAGCAATGAATCACGGACCTAATTTACTAAAAGCTTTGACCTAGTGTGAGCTAGTTCTGATCTACTCTTAGGTCATCATTATTTGTGGTTTTTTTTTTTTTTCATGGTTACAGTTTTTATTAATGATAATTTATCTGCTTGTTATCACTGGGTAAGACTATCCACCACAAGCAAAGTCCACTGGAAACACCTTTAATTATATACAAACCTGGGTTTATTTTAGTAGGTCTCTGAAAATATGTCAGTACTGGAATCTTTGAGAAGATACAGTCTTCCTACGTTCAAGTTCTCATTTTATAAGTGTGTGTTTATCGCAATGAACAAAGATTACTATTCTACTCAAAGCCCAGAGGCTTGTATACAGCACAAGTTTTAAAAATAATTGGGTCCCTCCATAAACCAAGAAAAAAAACCACACTTAAATATTATTGGTGCTAATAGAATATAAACTTATTAGCACATAAGATATGAAATTCCATTTCTTTCTTTTTTATACTGAATATTTCTGTTTATCCCAAGCTGGTCTGTTATCCATGACTTTCCTGCCTCAGCTTACTCGCTTCCAGAATTATAACTGTGTGCTAATTAAATTACCCTTTAAATGCTTTTTTTTTTTCTTACCAAACATCTCAGGAAATACTTGGTAGTCACAGTATTTTCACATGAATGCAGGCAGACATTGATTTTATTGGAATATATATACATATATTTTATTTTCTAGGTATATGTCTGTGACTTAGAGAATTGCTCAAATTTTGAGGAAATTACTCCATTCTCTATTCGTGCACCTCAAAAAGTTGTGGTTGATTCCTATAATGGGTAAGTGTTAGCTTTGTACATGTGAGATCTCTTTTTCTGGCAAAAACCTCTGTGAAGCTCCCTTGTGAGTGCAGCACTAATTCCCAACAAGTCTGTCTTTGGGCCTCATTTCACGTCAAGTTAATTCAAATTGCTTTCAAATTTGATTCCTTCCCCTTCCACAGCAAACTATAGTTTCATGGACATGACCTTTTGCTAGAGACTTTGGGACCATGATTCTAGTTCAAGCCTCGGGACTACTTTATGACAAGAATCAATATCTCATCGTTCCCTTCAGGGGCCACCATGAGACACTACTTCATCATGTGCCTCTGTAGCTGAACCATTCAGCTTCCTGGGGTGGCTCTTAAGTAGGTTGCTAACATCTACCCTCATGGGATAGAATTTGATGGTTCAGAACAAGTACATTCTGATAATGAAATGAGGATATTTTGTGCACGTCAAATGTTCATGAATGTGTTTCAGCAAAAATATAGAAAGTTATTTTAGAGGTTGTTTCTTAAATATGACCAACATAGTGAACAAATTCTTTACTAATAAGCATGTCCAATTGTTGGTAAGGTCAAACATTTTTCTTTGTCAAAGGTATAAATTTGTTCTCATTTTGAATGAAATAAAAATACAGAGCCTGTTTTTTTTTTTTTTCTTACACTGGCATTCTTAGAAAACTGTTGCTCACTGTTATTTAAAGTCAAGCTTTCCTATTCATATTCTTTAAATTTGAAATTTATTTTGTGTGAGTGGACAACCCTAGGCACTGGTCCTCACCCTTTGCAGTGTTTTTAAGCAAAGTGTCCTGTTCTCTGTTCAGTAGCTGGCCTGTGAGCTTCCATGGATTTTCAAGGCTTTCCCTCCTATCTTGCCTTTGGAGCACTGTGGTGCTCATGCACAGGCTTTATGTGGGTTCTGGCTGTTCAAGCAAAGGTCCTTGTGCAGCAAGCAATTTTACTCACCGAGCAATCTCTTTAGCCCCAGACCTTTAATTTCATTTTAGGTGTAAGTTACTGAATTATAGAATGTATTCTTAGGAGACAAGACTGGGTTCCTGCTCACTAAGTAGTGAGGATGACCTTGAACTTCTGGTTCTTCCGCTTCCATCTCCCAAGTTCTGGGATTACATATGTGAACTGTGATGCCTGGTTTTCTGAGATACTGGGGATTGGACTCCGGCCATCATGCATGCTATAGCAGCCAAGAAGCTTACTAAGTGAGGCACATCCCTAACCCAAATGATAGATTCGTAAAACAAAACAAACAAAAAACCCCAAACCCTGTGTGGACTTTCTAGATCTTAATATATATATATATCGAGACAAATATCCCTGGCTGGGCTTGTACTCACTGTATAGACCAGGCTTGTCTCAAACTCATCTGCTTCCAGACTGGTGAATTTAAAGGCATCCACCACCACGATCAACTTCCCAATTAAAAAAAAAACACACTTTATTGTAACAAATTTATAAATAAAAACATCACACAGCAAGATCAAGGTAACCACTCAGACACTTGCCCAGTCAGGCGCTAATTCCTGTCTGGTCTTCTGTCCAGTTAGGGAGGCCATTCTGAAGGGTGGAGCTTCATTTAGGGTTTTGTACCTCTATCATCAATTACATTTTTATTCCATTATCCACCACATAAAGGAAAACTATGACAGACTGAAACTAGAAAAACCATGAGCTTTACATCTTTCTTATTTTTTTGAGGTTTATTTATCATAGGAGTATTCTATTTGCATGTATGCCTGCATGACAGAAGCGGGGCATCAGAGTCTGTTACAGATGGTTGTGAGCCATCATGTGGTTGCTGGGACTTGAACTCAGGACCTCTGGAAGAGCAGCCAGTGCTCATAAACACTGAGCCATCTCTCCAGTCCCGATTTCATTTTTCTTTACAACTGAATAATATTCCATTTGGTATATGCCCCTCATTTTTAATATCGTTTCTTCTGTTGATGAACAGCTAGACTGGCTTCATTTCTTTGCTGTGGCAAACAGTGCGGTATTAAATATGATGTCAACATCTCTGTGGTAGGCTGTGGAGTTCTCTGGATTATATAGCCAGAAGTGGAACAGCTGCATTATATAGTAGTTCTGTTTGGAATTTTCAAACTCTAAATCTAAATCTCAACTGATTTCCACAACAACTCTATTAATATGCTTGCCCACTGCAGTGAATAACTGGTTCCTCTTTTTGTACACCTTCCCCAACCTTTGTTGTCAGATGTCTTGATGTCAGCCATCCAGACTATGGGAAGGTGGTATCTCAAAATAGCTGTAATTTGCATTCCCTTCATGACTAGGGGTACTGGACCCTTTAAAAATAAGTCGCCATTTGTGCTTCTTCTTTTGAAAGTGTCTATTGATAGCATCAGCCCATTTATTTTTTATTTTTATTTTTTAAATTTATTTATTCTTATTTTATGTGCACTGGTGCTTAGCCTGCAAGTATGTCTGTGTGAGGGTGTTGGCTCTTGGAGTTACAGACAGTTGTGTGTTCTCATGTGGGTGCTGGGGAATTGAACTCATGTCCTCTGGAAGAGTAGTCAGTGCTCTTAACCACGGAGCCATCTCTCCAGCCCCCATCAGCCCATTTCTTAATTAGCAGTTCTATCTCCTTAGTATTCAAGTTTTGTAATTCTTTAGAACTTCTTGCTCTTATTCCCCCTTTTGGAGTGTAGCTGAGTAAGATTTTCTTCCATTCTGTGGGCTGCCAGCTCGCTTGGCTGATTATGTCCTTTGTTGTGCAGAAATTTTTAAATTATGCAGTCTGGTCTGCCAGATACTTGGGGTTAGTTCATAGTCAGTTTAGAAAGTTCTCCTTGCCCAGTGTCTTGAAGAATATTCCATTTTCTTCCAGTACTTTCAGTTTTTCAAGTTTAAAATTATGCCCTGCACGCCCCATCCCCCAACATGGGTTTTCTGTATGGCTTTGGCTGACCTAGCACTACCACTGTAGACCAGGATGGCCTCAAACCCACAGAGGTCTGCTTGCTTCTGCCTCCAGAGTGCTGGGATTAAAGGTGTATGCTACCACCTCCTGGCTTTTCAATTTTTAAATTAAAAGTTTAATTATTAGTCAATAGCCATATCACCTGAACGCACCCAGTGGCATCTGGTCTAGATCTTATTTCCCTCATTTATGAGGGTCTAAAAGCATATGGACTGTCCTGTTGTTATTGGATACCACATGAGTCATTCTATGGACAATGAACTTCACTCATCAAATCAGCTTTTCTAGTATATCACAGTAAGGTGATTAGTGGCTCCTATTTCCCATTAGAACAAAATTTATTTGTGCTTAAGTTTTGAAGTGTGACTAGAAAAGATCATGATAATTAGGATTTACAGCAGTTTGTTTGTACTTAGCAGGTTTCTAAGTTCTTTCTTTTCCACAATCATTTTATCCTGAGGTAGATACCTTTGCTAGACAGGGAAGTTAATCCAGTAATCATCCAAGATGCTTTGCAATGACCCAGGATAGGATCTTCTGCATAAGGCCCTCTGCCCCCTGATCATTTTCTACCTTGACAGGAAAGTTGTACAAAAATAATATACTTTTCAGCAAGTTTGTGTCCTTATAGGACAATGGATGTGTGCAGCAGGTTGCAGCTGTCCTGGAGTTTACAGTGCTTTCCTTCATGTGGTTATTTTGCCCTCAAAAAGCTTCAACCTGATCTGAATCTTGACCCTTCTCTCCATCCTACCCCTTGCATTCCCTTGTCATGTCTGTCTGTTCTCTTCTTTCTCCCTTTCTCTTCTTTCTTCTTCTCTTTCCTTTTCACCCAGTGAGCAGGGTTGAAGCTCTGGATTCTTTCCTGCCACAAATTGAGAACTGTGCTTCATTAACCCAGACAGTTTTTCTTTTATGTAAGTTTTTTCCAAATACTTTTAACAATTTTGAACTTCACAGACAATCAGGAGCCATTCTTTTTGTTCGCTATCATTCTCCTTTGAGGCAGACAAAATAGATTTATATCTCAAAGTGAGTTTGTATCTCAAGGTTTTTTTTTTTTTTTTTTTTTTTTTTTTTTTTTTTACCTTAGGCTAGAATGTGGACAGAGTTGTAAAGATTTAGGAAGATCATCTATAGTGGACTGAGTAATGACAAGAAATAATGGCTTAACAGTAACAGGAAATAATGGCTTGTGATGCAAGCTGGAACGTAACATTGCCTGGGGTTATAAGATATTTAACTGTATGAGCTTGCTAGCAAGTATTTTAATGATCAGCTAAAAATTAATAATTTTTATTATACCAGTTAATTTTTTTTTAAAAAAAATTACTTTCTGTGTGTGAGTTTTTTGGTTGCCTATATGTCTGTGCACCAATTATATGCCTGGCTTCTGAGGAGGCCAGAAGAGGGTATCAGGTCCCCTGGACCTGGAGTTAGTGATGATTGCTACCATGTGGGTACTAGGAATCAAATCTGAGTCCTTTGGAAGAGCAGTAAGTTGCTGAAGCATCTCTCCAGCCCCACTGGCTAAAACTTTACTTTGATGTTTGATTGTTGGTAAAATACTAAGACAGGCTTTTTTTCCCCCCACATCAAAAATCACCTGCTCATTGTTATAAGACTAGACTCCACATGGGACATACATACATCTTCAAAACATATTTATATTTTATTTTTTTGTGTGTATGTATGAGTGCAATTGAGTACTGGTGCCTTCAGAGGTTAGAGGCCTGAAATGCCTTGTAGTTAGTGGCTGTTGTGAGTTGTCTGGTAGAGGTACTGGGAATAGAACTCCTGGAAGAACAGAAAGTGCTCTTACACACTGAGCCACCTCTTCAGCTTCTTGGTCATGCACCTATAATTCTTCTATTGGCTTCCTTCTCCTGAGAGTTGGGTGGCCCTGCTCAGCATCTTTAGTCACCTGTTGGGTATTTCTTCATTGATTACAAAATGAAACATTTGTACTTGCCTGTTTCACTTACAGATAGATATTGTTAAAATTTAGATGACTCCAGATGCAGAGCAGTTATGTTAATTGTAGCAAAATACAAATGGCTTGAATGTTTTTTTTCTTCTGTTTATCATTCTCAATGCATGAGAAAAATTCATTGACAGAATTTGACTTGAAAATTTGGATAGAAATTCACGTGAGGGTCGTGCGGGGTGTGTGTGTATGTGTGTGCAGGTGCACTCATCTGTTGGTGTGTACATGGTGACTGGAGGTCAAAGCTGGATGTCCTCCTCTATCACACACTGTTCTTTGAGACAGGATCTCTCACTGAACCCACAGCTAAGCATTTTTCTGATAGACTGGTTTGCCAATGAGCCTCCAGGGTTTGCATCCTCCCTCCCACTGAAGTTCCAGATGTGCACAGCTGTGGTTGGTTGGCTTTTACATGGCTTCTGGGAATCCACACTCAGGTCTTCCTCCTTACCTGGCAAATGCTTTACTCACTTGGCTATCTCTCTCCAGCGCTAACTATGTGATTTTCATATACTGTGCTTACCTCTGAAATCCTTAAAATACTTTTTTGCCTTAATCCGATTCTCCAAAAAGTCCCTTATAAGCATTCAAAGACCAAGCATCATAATACAGGATGGCGTTTCAAGCCTTCTGCCTTCTAACTGTAATCAGTATGGCATATTCCCAGCTTTGATCTTCATCGCTGTGCACCCTGGGAAGTCCTGGGATACGTGCAACTGATAGCATCGCAGGCTAAAGCAATTAGCCCTGAAGGGTACACAGCCACCCTTGCGCTGAATTACATCAAGCTTCTTTTGTCTCCCTGTCAGGTATGTCTTTTATCTCCTGAGTGACGGTATTTACAGAGTCAATCTCCCTTTGCCATCTGGCAGGGACACCAAAGCTGTTCGCATTGTGGAGAGTGGCGCGTTAAGGGACTTTGCAGTAAAGCCACAGTCCAAGCGAATCATTTACTTCAATTCCACCCTACGAGTCTTCATGTCAACGTTTCTGGATGGCTCGGCTTTCCATCAGGTCCTGCCTTGGGTGCCCCTTGTGGAGGTGAAGAGCTTTGCCTGTGAAAACAATGACTTCCTCATCACCGACGGCAAGGCCATTTTCCTGCAGGACTCTCTGTCTTTCAATGAGTTCATCGTGGGATGTGACCTGAGTCACATAGAAGAGTTTGGGTTTGGTAACTTGGTCATCTTTGGCTCATCCGTCCAGTCATACCCTCTGCCAGGCCATCCACAGGAGCTCTCAGTGCTGTTCGGGTCTCAAGAGGCCCTTATTCAGTGGAAGCCTCCTGCTGTCGCCATAGGAGCCAGTGAGTGTGCTATCCTCAGGGTGACTACTGGCCAGCCGGAAGGGAGAGAGGCTTCTACCATTCAGCATAGGGATTCAATTTGGAGAGCCCAAATCAAGTAGTGTCTTTACACTTATCTTGCATTTATTATTAGCCTTGTAGTAGGAGAGTCCTTATACTCCATGGACAGATCCCAAACAGAATAGCCCAGCTGTTTTTGGTCATATATTATGAGGTATACTGACTTTCTAGTCTGAATGGCTACCAGCCAGGAAGGATAACATACTTGGGCTGGATGGAAGCTTGCATGAATTTCAGCCATTCCCTGAAGTTTTCTGAACTTTACTTTCCCCGTCTGGATAGGCAGAATGGATACGGCAGGAAGCAGGTTGTCTCTAGAGCTTTTTAGTAAAAGAAGGGCATCTTTTTTATTGCTGTCTGAGACATCACGGCCATGGCAACATTTAGTTGGGGCTGACTTACAGTTCAGAGGTTTAGTCCATTATCATCATGGTAGGAAGCATGGTGGCGTGCAGGCAGACATGGTGCTGGAGAAGTGGCTGGGAGTTCTACATCCAGATTGGCAGCCAGCAGGACGAGACAGTGAGCCACTGGGCCTGGTTTGAGCATCCGAAACCTCAAAGCCCACCCACTAGTGACACACTTTCTCCAACAAGGCCACCCCTCCAATAATGCCACTCCCTATAAATGTGTAGGGACCGTTTTCATTGAGATCACTACAAAGGGTAAATGATTTCAGCTTTGTGGACAGATGGTCTCTGTCACCACTACTTAACTTGGTGTTGCTGTGGAAGCAGCTATTGGACAGCTGTAAACAGATGGGTGAAGGCGTAAAAGGATAGGTGAAGCCAGAAAAGGATAGCTAAAACCATAAAAGGATAGCAGAGGCTGTGTCTGAGTATAACTTTTATGACAGAAACATGCAGTATGCAGCTTCACCCTGTGAACCACCTTTTGCCAGCCTCTGGTCCACCAGACAGTAATACTTAGTACAGTTTGACAATTTTTTACTGTATGACAAACTTATTATGCCTGTTTGCTACACATTTGAAACATAACTGAGAATGAGGGCTGGAGATGTAGCTCAGTTGATCAAGGGCTTGCCTGCCATGCACCAAGCCCCGAGTTCAATCCCCAGCAATGGATAAACTGGATATGGATGGTGTACAGCTGTAATCTCAGTACGAAGGAGGCAGTGGTAAGAAGATTAGAAGTTCAGGGTCATCCTCAGCTATGGAGGAAGTTTGAGGCTAGCCTTGGGAAATACAAGGATACCCCCTCCCCCATTCCCTGTCTTTTACTCTAACATTGAGAATGAATTGGCAGTTTCCCTCCCTCCCAAGTTGATTTTGCTTCTGGTAATTATGTTTGAGAGTCATTGTTTCCTTTTAAATTAAGAGCCTGGTTATATGGGGTAGCGTTATAGACAACCCTTCTAACACGTTACAGAGTCTGCCATGTAGAGTGAATGAGTCTTAGCTGGGTGTGATGGCATACTTAACGATCTTAGCACTTGAGAAGTTAAAGCAGGAAGATTTCAAATTTAAGGCAAGCCTGGGATACATGGTGGAATCCCATCTCAAAAATGCTTTTGAAAGTATGCTCTCATAGCCTTACCTGATGGAAATAACTGTCTCTTTTAATAGATCTAAGTGAGGGGCACGGGAGGAACAGGCACTGCCATTGCCTTGCCACCATACTGACCCTGTTAATAGAATAAGCATAACTACTAATCAATTTCTCTTCATTTGATATAGTTCACTGATCACTTTCCTTTTGAGATTTTCTTGGTCTGTCCTCATGATGTCATCCTGGTCAATGACATTAGTTAACCATTTAGGTTCTTCTGCCTGGCAGAACTGGACTTATGAGGTGAAAGTTTCCTCCCAAGAGCTTCTTGAAGTCACTCAAGTTTTCTCTAACATAAGAGGGACCATACTTAACGTACCTGAGCTGCTGAGTGCTACAAAATACATGGTTTCTGTGAGAGCGAGTTCTCCTAAAGGCCCAGGCCCCTGGTCAGAGCCTTCAGTGGGCACCACCCTCGTATCAGGTGAGGACAAGCTCTGGCCTAGGGAAGGGGCTTAGCCTGGCCACCTTTTTATATTATGTATTATACTGCATATTGTAAAGAGATAAGAATGAGCTGTGCCAACCTGTGGAGGGCGAAGTTTTAGTTCAGGATCACAGAACCAAATAATACACCATGGATATTTGTGTTTCTTACCTTATACCTTGTATCCTTCAAGACATACTTGAAGAAATCTTATTTTCATCTTATTGGTTTCCTCTTAGTTTATTAAGACACAATATTCCTCACCGAGGAAGGTCTTGGAGAAATTGAGGAACCTATGATTTATGCTGAATTTTGCCATCTTGGCTGAAGGAAATGGAAGGACAGTGGTATCATTTATATAGTCATTATCACAACTGCTTCTGGATTCTCAGAACATGATCATAGAAAACAGTAGCTGTGGGTGGTCATGGTGGCTGTGGTGGTAGAAGGTGGCATGACCATGAGTGTTTGGCATGACACTGTTAGACACTGTTATGGAGGCAGCATGAGTGTGCCTTTCTCTTCCCGTTTGGTTTCAAATGTTTATGTGAAAATCAGAATAACATTTAACAAGATAGATAATTCTACTAAACGGATGCAATTGCTTATATAGTTTTTCAAAATGTTAATATTTTACTTAAAAAAATATGCTTTAGTTGGGTGTGTTGGCACACAGCCTTAATCACAGCACTTGGGAAGCAGGGGCAAGCAGATCTCTATGAGTTTGATGCCAGCCTGGTCTACATAGACTGTTCCAGGCCATCTAGTGTTTCATAGTGAGACCCTGCCTTTAAAAAGGTATGTTTTGTGTGATATTTCTTATTAATTTCCTCTTATTTTACCATATAGCTACTGAGCCACCATTCATCATGGCTGTGAAAGAAGATGGGCTTTGGAGCAAACCACTCAGTAGCTTTGGCCCAGGAGAGTTCCTATCCTCTGACGTAGGAAACGTGTCAGGTAGATACTCTCTCTGACTTAGGTGTGGGTTCCTACCCAGGTGCCTTCCTAGGTGACTCAGTGAAGGGAAGGCACTGAGTTCTGGCTGCCGGGGCAACTGTGAAACATTTGCCAGTGCTGTTGTCAAGAAAGTGTCAGGTCTTGGGTAGAAACATTACTTGTTAAAACCCCGGGCTACTTATTGTGTCCACTCCAGAAGGGCTTGATTGATGATCATGTGTTCTATCAATATTGTCCCTCAATTAATAGCAACTTGTCTTGTTCTGGTGAACACAACTTTTCTTGAATGACTCACTGTGTCTTTGATGTAAGACCAGAGCAGGAGGACTGCTGCATAGCACTTTGAAGAGTATTGGAAGTACTCTTTGTAGGGTGTGTGAGACAGGCTCTCACTACATGGTTGGCGAGGTTGTGCCGGGGCAGTGTTGCTGAAAGTGTTCTCTCTAAAGTGGCATGACAATGACCTCACCTGAAGATTAACTCTTCTATAGTTACCTACTCATTTTCTGTTGTAACTCGGTCCTTAAGTCTGCAACAGCATGTCCACTCAACAAGGGAACTGGACTGGGAAGGTCAGTGTGATGCTCTCGGAAAGAGTGAGACCTGGAGTTGTTTGGAAACGTGGCTCCCTCTCTTTGATCTTTGAGGCTTCAGGCAGACTAGACAGTCTCATGGAATCTAAGAAAACGATACTTATGCTTGCCATCACTTCTTCAGGAGTTAAATTAGATAGCAGTGCGTCTTGGGCAATGTCAGGCTGATGCTCTGCAGGTTTGCTCCTCTTCCCTGTTCCAGGAATTGAGATTTGGGACTTATTTAGTGTGTGTGAGACAGGCTGTTACAATGAAGCCCTGCTTGGCTTGGAACTTACTATATAGACCAGGTTGGCCTCAAACAAGGACTGGGAGTAAGGGCCTGCACCACCACAAGCAGCCATTACTTAAATATTCCTGACGAACCCGTAAGTTCTCATGAACAGATAATTTATAGGCATCGGTGTGATTGACTCATCCCACTTCTGTTAGCACACATGAAGATAAGTGCTGCTTGTTTGTCTTTATTTTGAGATATGGATTGGTATAACAACAGCCTCTACTACAGTGACACAAAAGGCAACGTTTATGTGCGGCCACTGAATGGTATGGATATCTCAGAGAATTATCACATACCCAGCATTACAGGAGCTGGTGCATTGGCCTTTGAATGGCTTGGTCACTTTCTCTACTGGGCTGGGAAGACATATGTGGTAAGTGAGAGCCTGCTTCTTTGGATGCTTGAAAGCAATTGTGCCCATTTCAGTGACTTGCATGGCATAGACCCATTTATCCAGCCCTGGGAAGTAATATTTTAAGAATAAAAAAGTACAGTGCCTGACATAGAACAGGTACTCAATAACTGTAAGAATTAAAATTAGGGAAGTATATAGTAAAAGAGGAGCAAGGAGAAGGCTCATCCTCTACAAAGACATGCATATCCCCTTTAGTCTAAGAAGATTCTCTTCTTCTTTGGTGGTCATGGGGATGAAGAGAGCCTTGCACATACTGGGCAATGCTCTTCCCTTGGACTGCATTCCCAGCCCCCAGTCAAATACTAAGAATGTCCCTGAGCATGGTGATACATGCCTTTAACCCCATCCCAGATGCCATCCCAGAGCCAGATAGATCTCTGAGTTCAAGGCCAGTCTTATATGAGATCTAGGCCAGCCATGGCTTCCTAGAGAGACCCTGAACAAACGAGAAGATATTCATAGCTATACTGATTGAATATATAATTAGGAATACTGAACATTTTAACTCAACTTACTTCTCCTAGACATGAAAAAAAGGCAGTTCAATCAGAGCAGTTGCCATGTCTGTTTGCTATCGTTTCCCAAGGCTTAGCCCACAACCCAGCACCCACCGAGTGCTGACAACTATTGGTGGTTGGATGAGTGAGGGAACATACAAATGAGTGAGAGGGCCTGCTCATGACTGCATTGCACCGCTCAGAAACCTTGGCGCCACTTGAAAATATTTATCTGGCAATACCGTCCTGTTCTCCAGATCCAGAGGCAGTCTGTGTTGACAGGACACACAGACATTGTGACTCACGTCAAGCTGTTGGTGAACGACATGGCCGTGGATTCAGTTGGTGGCTATCTGTATTGGACTACACTGTACTCCGTTGAAAGCACCAGACTAAATGGAGAAAGTTCTCTTGTACTGCAGGCTCAGCCCTGGCTGTCTGGCAAAAAGGTGATAAAATTAAAAAAAAAAAAAGGATGTAATTATTTAATAATACTAAATGATACCATTCTATAGTAATGACAACACTCCCTCTATTTGCTTTAGTTGAGGTAGAATTCTAAAGAAAATGCTACTAAAGTAAGATCACTGTATGACCAGCATTTCCCTAAACCTTATTTGGTGGTCAGAACTGATTAATTACTAAGTTCAAATATAACATGGAGATTTTTGTAGCTTGCCTCATCCTGAGCGAGTCCATGTTTGGCAGCTTATAATGTTAATACATGTATACAATGCATTCTGATCACTCCCTTATTCTCATTTTTCTCCCATCTCTATTTATCCCCACTCATTCCTTCCAGTCTCTTTCTTAGAAGGCAATTTGACGCTATGTCATTTAAGCTAAACAACAGTGTCTAGTTCCTTCTCTAGGGCCTATTAACTCTCCTGACGTGGGTTTTAATTAAGCTTTCAGTGCTGGGCCTGGCTTCCCTCCTGTAGAGTGAGCCTCAGATGTAGTCATTGAGTTGGTTACACCCTGCCCTTTAACAACAGTGTCACTATTGCACAAGCAGTCACATCTTGCTCGGCAGGTTGGTCTTGTAGTTACTAGGGTTCAAATGAGGTAAGACTGTTAATGCCTTTTCTTCCAAGCAGCTTAAAAAAAAAAAAAAACACCATCACTACTACCAACAAAAAAACTTCCTTGAAATATGAAAGCTAGCCATCAAAGAGGGAAAAAAAAAATTGTTCCAGCTTGATCTTCTTGTTCACGCAGCCAGGATGTGTGTTATTTCAGCAACAGGGTCAGACCATCTGGTTCTCTTCACCTTATTTTTTGAGACAAAGTTGCCTCAGTGAATCTGGAGTTCATCAGTTTAGCTAGGCTGCCTGGCCAATGAGCTCCACCTGTCCCTGCTCTGCCGGCACTGACATTACAGCACACTGGCACACTCTGACTGTTGCCTGGAGGCTGGGGATCTGAACTCAGGTCATTCTGTTTGTGCAGCATGTATTTCACAAAGTGAGCCATCTCTGCAGCCTACCACTGTGCATTTTAAATGGATACTTTTCCTTCACGCTCCTCTGTGGATTGATCTCATAACAAGCTGCTGTCTCCAACCAGCAGACATAAGAAAGCACAGTCACCTCATTGTCTGTAGAAAGACACAATTATTTACATGATTGAAAAAAAAGACAGTCAGCAAATGTGATTTTTTTCATATTTGATACATTTAACTTAGAGCATTAAACTGCGACTAAAGATTTCAATTCACATCAGAATTTACTAGACGTGATAATTGTTACAGAGATCTATGGGACACCTGGCTTAATTTGGACATGGGACTATGGACTGAGAGGAATGAGACTTGTTCAACTCCTGAATTTACTTATGGTCTGGATACTTGTTGTATTTGAGCAAAAAGACTTACAAAATCCCTTGCTGAAACATAGGCAGTTATTTTGTAGTTTAGAAAGCTCTAGTGTTTTTGTTTTTTATTATAAATAGCAAAACAAAGAGCTAACACTGATGTTCTCCTCAGCACCAAAGGAAAGGCCAGGTAGAGAGGTGTGTGGCTGGACCGGTAGTGCTGCGGAAGGCATAGACAGGCAGACCCCGGAGCTTGTCGGCTAGTTCGTCTAGCCAGAGGGTGAGCTTCAGGTGCAGTGAGAAACCCTATTTCAAAAGCTAAGGTGGAGAGAGACTGAGGAAGGCACCAGACATTAACATCCGGTCAACATACACACATGTGCACACACACATGTACCACAAACACGAAATAAGACAAACAACCAAACACGTTTAACCCGATTTCACATTGAGAGAAAAGAAAATCAACACATCTCAAAGCAGCAGGAGGTAAAGCGGGATTACAAATGTTAAAGCCTTCAAAGTGCATTTCGCCCAGAGAAGGAATCAATGTCTGTCTGTGGTTGCCTGACAAGTATGAGGTTTTGTGGTCAGCTACTTTCTGATGGTTCACTTGTCGTAGGATAAACTATCAGGAAGTATTTTTTAGTTCTTGGACATCTTATTGAATTCTTTTAAAGTTTTCAATGACTCACGAATTCTTTCTTTTTAAACTCCTCCTTGCCTCCATTCCCCCCCCCCCCTTGCTACTTTCCATCCTTTCTCCTTCCTCTTTATTTCCTTTCTGAGAAAGGGCCTTGGACTGGTCTCCAACTCCTGATTATCCTACCTCCACTTCTTACCTGGGAATGAGGCTTTCTATATGCTTGATTATCCGATTGTAAGACATGAACACCCTGTGTGTATGTATATATCTCTTTGTACTGTCTCAGAATGCTTTTGGATGCAATCAACAGAAAATACAGTGTTTATATTTATTTTGGTGGGGAGGGGATAGAGTTTCACATAGACTAGGCTAGCCTCCAACTCTCTATGTAGCTGAGGCTGGCCTTGAACTCCTGGTCTTCTGGTTTCCACTTTCTAAATACTGGGGTTATAGCCATGTGTTAGCAGGTGGCACACTGGACTTCAATGTGGGAATTTTTAAAAAATTAATTAATTAATTATTGCAATTTATTCCCTTTGTATCCCAGCTGTAGCCCCTCCTTGGCTCCTCCCAGCCCTAACTTCCCTCTCTCTTCTCCCCTTATGACCCTCCCCTAGTCCACTGATAGGGAAGGAAATCTCCCCTTCTATTTGACCATAGCCTATCAGGTTTCATCAAGTGGAGGAGTTTTAAAGCATCTTTGAGATTCGGTTTTATCCCCAGGGATCACAATATGATAAGGTGAAGCCTAGTAATTGTGATTAAAACTCTCTTGTTCAGCATTCTTAGAGAACAACTGGTTTAAGCAATAAGTGATTTTCCTGTTTGGCTAAAGATTCTAAAGTTACAGCTAGTATTAGACAAAGCTTGATGCAAATTGCATTTCAAACTGAGCAGCTCTGGAGTGGGTTTGAAATTGTATTCTTCAAAAGTTTTCCAGTACTGCTCAGCTAAGAACCCCATTTTGATAGTCACCAGAACTAAGTGTATAAAACTGAATAACTGGTATTCTTGCCTTTTGAAGAATTTCAGGGAATGTATGCACATTTCCATAAATTATATATATATATAATTTTGATTTTTAGTGAACATAAAAAAATCCCTAAGTTCATTATTCAAAAGATATTGAAGAGAAATCTATAGTTGAAGTCTGACCTGCTCACAAAGGTATGTTTTAATCTGTGTTTGATTCACTTTCTTTCTATTTTTGCAGCATAGGGGAGTGAAAAGATGTTTGCAAGCTTGCTAGCCAAGTACTCTACAACTGAGCTATGTCCTCAGGCGTGGCTAATTTTATTACCTTATTTTCTGTTTAGGTTATTGCTCTAACGTTAGACCTGAGTGATGGGCTCCTGTACTGGCTGGTGCAGGACAATCAGTGTATTCATCTGTACACAGCTGTTCTTCGAGGATGGAGGTGAGAGGATCCCTGGAAGGCTCAGAGAGAATTTCTTGCCTTTCTTAACATGTCTTTTTATTTCCCGCGAAAGCCCCATGAAGGGACTTCACCCATACACAGAATTCTTGGTGTTGTTATGCTCCTATTCTATAGACAGTTAAAGGAGAGGATCAATTATTTGCGTGCAGGCCTACCTACTGTGTGAATAACAACCCATAACAGCAAATTCATTCATTTGCAGAGGGGCATGGGCATAATCAGGTGGCATGTCAGCTCTTTTTGTTGGTGTTATGTGAGCTGGGTTGAGATGTTTGGGTGAAGTTATTAGGTAGACCAGACCGATGCTCTCCCAGGCCAGTGACAGTTTAGTTCGTGTCTCTGTGGATTGGGGTTCTTGTGCACACAAAAGTGGAGCCTTCCCTCCTGGGTAAATGCCCACAAATTCTTTCATCTTCGTCTATCTCCTTTTCAAATCACCTCAAATAGGTTTTCTTTTAAAAAAGTTATAATTGTGCTAGAACGCTAACTCATGCTGTCTCCAGTGTTGGGTTATTGTATGTCCTTGGTGACTCCAAGCCCTTCTGCTTCCACTCATATGCCCTTGTGGATCTTTTTGAACATATGGCAAATTTGTATCTTTTTTTTTTTTTGTGGCTTTCTTTCTGGACGAAAACTTTTTCCTAAGGCTTGGAAAAACCTAGCATTACCTAGCACTAGGTCTTTCTACAACAGTTAGTGTTACGGAAGCACAAGAGAAAACTAGATGTGAACTCTGCTAGTGAAGAAGTGAGAATTCAGGTTGTGCTGTTAGTGTTACCCAAACCACAAGGATCTGTGCAAGCCTGAAACTTGTGTGTATTCTTGCAATTTCTCTCTCTCTCTCTTTCTCTCTTTAATAAGAAAGTTTGGCTTAAGTTTGATAATTTAAGAAAAATTAAAATCAATTTAATACGAAAGTAAAAACATCGAAATTGTTTCAAATATTTTTTCTTGTTCACATGTTCACAGACACACATGTATTCATTTACAAGCACATAACTGGGTATGAGATTGTGTCTTCCAGTCCTCCCCCCACTTCAGATGCATTATGTTTGACATTATGTTTTAGCAGTACTGGGGATGCGACTATCACCGAGTTTGCAGCCTGGAGTACTTCTGAAATTTCCCAGAATGCGCTGATGTACTACAGTGGTCGACTTTTCTGGATCAATGGCTTTAGGATCATTACAGCGCAGGAAATAGGTCAGAGAACCAGTGTGTCTGTTTCAGAGCCAGCAAAATTCAACCAGTTCACGATTATACAGACATCCCTCAAGCCTCTGCCAGGTACAGTATTTTATCCGTTCCTATTCATCTTCATGCCTCTTCAATAGTTATTTTGATAGGTACTTTCCCTCTTGCAACGTAATTCTTAAGAAAAAGAAAATTAGTGTTTTTTTAATTTGTAGATAGCAAATTTAATCTTAAACCAAATTAACAGCCTGTAAGACAGTTTAAAAAAAATGGACAAAAAATTGACATTTATTTGTTTGTTTGGAGACAAAGTCTCGGGCAGCCAAGATTGGCCTAGGAGTCATTTTGTAGCTGAGACTGTGTTTAAGGTTCTGAGATAAACCCTCTGCCTCCACCCTCTGGTGGGATTATAGGCATACACCACCACACCTGCTTTTAATTCTAATTATTAGTAATTTCTGCTGGATGTCCATGATTCTCTGCTTATCTTTCTCATTGTTTTCATCCTTTCTTTCTCATTCCACAGGGAACTTTTCCTCTACTCCCAAAGTTATTCCAGATTATGTTCAGGACTCTTCATTTCGGATTGAAGGGCACAGTTCAAGTTTCCAAATCCTGTGGAATGAGCCTCCAGCGGTGGACTGGGGCATAGTTTTTTACAGTGTGGAGTTTAGCGCTCATTCTAAGGTATGTTGCTGGTTCTATGCTATTCCCCAAAGGTACCGCCTCATCATTACAGCTAGGTATATGTGATTTGTACACTTACCCAAGCACAGCTCTGGATGTTTTTCCATAGAGTTTGGTTACAAAGCATATTCCTGATAGCACTTTTGCAGCTGCTTCTGCTCTGCTAATTGTGGTGCGGGCTAGGGCTTACCTGCTTTATCTCAAAGCCATAGTAATGAGCAAATTTTGCATTTCCAAGATTTCAAGTTTTGATTTTGGAAGTAACCCCAAATTTAGAAAATTTAGTTACTTATGAGTGAAAAAGTTAATAATTTTCTGTCTAAAAATGTTTTGTGCTTATATTTTAGTTTCTGGCTATTGAACAACAGCCTTTACCTGTTTTTACTGTGGAAGGGCTGGAGCCCTATGCTTTATTTAATCTCTCTGTCACTCCTTATACCTACTGGGGAAAGGGCCAAAAGACATCTTTATCGCTCCGTGCACCCGAATCAGGTAAAGTAAAATCTGTTTTAAAAACAATAATAAGACACAAGTTCTCTCTTTGCCTGGCATGGAATGGATACTCAATATCAGTTAAAATGACTTTCAGCTTTATAGAGGTGTATAGTTTCAATGACATTTCGATGACTTCTGGGAGACTACAATAGTATCATCAAAATGAGCCCGTGAATATATTTGCAAAGATGAGTATTTGGAAGATTAAGAACTATTTTTCCTGTACTGTAGTGATATGTAAGAGGCAAAAACGTGTTTCAGGAAGTCTGTGAAATATCCTGTCAGGCGGACGGGCTCTGAAGGGCACCAGGTATTAATGGTGGCGTTAACTCAGCGTTCTGAGCATAAGTATCTCGTGTCCAGATTTTATGCTTCTTGGAAATGTATTTGGAAAAAGAACACCAGCCTTCCTTATCCTCACAGGTTGTATAGCACTTTGAAGTGTACCATGCATGCTTACGGGCATCATACTTTTATTAAACATTTATTACCTACCTATGCTTGATGATGTCCGCACAGCTCTGCTGTACACAAGATAGTTGTTCTAATCTTAGCTATGGAAGTGAGAAGGGAAGCTCTAGAGGCTTGTGTGAAATAGCTTCTAAATGGCAAGAACGCAACCAGAGGTTCTACTGGAGTTTCATTGAGCTTACTGACGTCATTTTTGCAAATATGGGTTAATGATAGTAATGTATTAATTTAAGTTCTACAAATTTCTAAGAAAGGACCCAGCAGGTGGTAAGAGCTCAATAAACAGAAAGATCCACTCAGCAAGATACTTTTTATGGTATGATTTATTCAATGATATTTATCAACCACAGCAGGAACATAGTGAGATATGGGCATTTTCTGCCCCAGGAAGCATTTGGATCCAGTTATGCTCTAAAATTGTCTTGGGCTTTGGTGGTGCAGTTCTGTTAAAATGAACATGACTATATTGGCCCATTCCATGGGGCAAGTCGAGCCGGGTTACCTGAAGGAGGGACTGGGAATGATAAGGACAGAGATTCAAGGAATGGAGTCGAGACACGGTTCTGATCAAGACTCATTTATTCAACACTCAGAGAGCACTTTTAAAGCAAAAAGCCACAAGCAGCTTCCTTAAGGTAAAAACTACATCAGTCAGTAAAAATTTACCCAAAAATTCACTTGCAGAAGGCTTCCCTATTTAAGAACAGACTGTGTGGTAAGAACATCTGTTTCTGCCGGGTCTCTGTGAGACTAACCTCCAGACTATATGCTAAAAATAAGGTAAAGAAGTAAAATTCCATAAGCTGACTCCTTCACTGTATCCCTCAGGGGATCTTCTAGGATCCTCTGGTAAACATCTGACAGATATTGGTAGCAGTAAGGAAGAATAATGGGATTTGGCCCATACCTCAGAATGTTTGCAGCATAGCAAACAATCATTCAGGCTTTCTGATCTATATTAAGCACTTATTTTATATCACTTCAATACTAGATTTGGGAGGTCTTCAATAAGAACAAGAATAAATTTTCTATGGAGTCCATAAAACAGTATGAAATGAACGCATTTGCTTCTAGTATAATAGAAACGAGGACATGATAACTGAATTGAGAACCATGACCTATAGGAGTCAGATAATGCTATGAAATCTTCAACTTTGTCAAGATGCCTCAAGTATTCCTAGAAGAGGGAGATGAATTTATATGGTCACAGAAGACTTTAGCTGGATTGTGAGAAATCGTGTAGGAAGGTCTTAGTCACTCTTAGTTCATTATCAACATAGCAGTGAACATGATGGCACAAGGGCAGGCATGGCACTGAAGCTGAGAGCTTTATACCCTGATCTACACGCAGCAGGGAGAGAGAAAGACACTGGGCCTGGCATGAGCTTTTGAAACCTCAAAGGCCAACCCCTCGTGACACACTTCCTTCAACAAGGCCATACTTACTCCAACAAGACAATACCTTATAATTCCACTAAACATTCAATTATATGAGCCTGCGAGGGCTGTTTTTACTCAGACTACCACAACTATTATACCACAAGAGATGAAAGTGTAAAAGGGCCTGGGGATGAAATAGAGGTGTGAGTGAGAAAAACTGGGAGGCAGTGAGACTGGAAATGGGGAAGGAAAGTCCCTGAAGAGGACTTTCAAGACAGAAGAAGGATACGTGGAATAGAATGGTCCAGGAATACATGACTTAGGTCAACTCTAGCATAGTGGGTGATGGGATGCTCAAGCTGTAGTCTTGGGATACCTGTCAGCCATATGAGGGTTAGTATCAAGAGGACCAGAATCCCTATTCTGCTCTATTCCACTCTTGACCTGGGGAAGGGCAGTTGTAGTTAATGACCCTACCCCCCCCCCCCCCAATAATTAGCACCAGTTAAACCACTCTATCAGGATGAGAGTGAACATTCTATTTTCCTGGGGATAACCAGTTACATTTCAACTGTCTGGGGTACAGATGAGAAAGATGAGCTTAAATAGTAATAAGAGGATAATGGGTAGGATGTAAGAACATCAGTGGTTAGGATGTAAGGATGCTATGAAGACTTGCTGAAATATCAGGGTGGGCTTCTGAAGAAACCTGTTGGTTATTCCTCTAAGCAGAGCCTTAAGAATGAGAAAAATGGGGCTGAAGAGATGGCTCAGCTGCTAAAGGCTGGGCTCACAACCATAAATATAAGAATGAGAAAAATGAACTTCAATGGTCTGGTATGAGAAATAGTTTTGCTAAGATGTCCACACCATGATCATCAGTAGTAAAACCAGCCTTATGTTATATTCTGCCCCATCTGTGTGTCTACTTTTCAGTTCCATCAGCACCAGAGAACCCCAGAATATTTGTATTGTCAAGCGGAAGATACGCCAACAAGAATGAAGTTGTGGTAGAGTTTAGGTGGAATAAACCCAATCATGAAAATGGAGTGCTAACCAAATTTGAAATCTTCTATCATATATATAAACAAAGCGGTACAAATAAAACAAAGGAAGACTGGATTTCTGTCAGTGTCACGCCCTCAGTCATGTCTTTTCAGCTTGAGGCCTTGAGTCCTGGGTTTATGGTTGCTTTCCAGGTATGAGAGAGAAAGCAGGGGTACACATCTTTTTGTTTTTAGAGTTTATTTTTATTATTTTATATTATATTCTTGCATTTCTGCATGTGAATATGTACAGGTATGTGGAGGCAAGAGATGTTGGATTCGCTGGAGCAGGAGTTACAGCAGTTATGAGCCCCACTTGTGGGTACTGGGAAGTGAATTTGAATCCACTGAAAGAGCAGTATGTTCTCCTCACTGTCTCTCCAGCTCCTGTGTGAAGAAGCTTTATAATTTGATTGCAAGTCTAGCATTTAATGCCTGAGCTATCTTTTCAGCCTCCATGATATGAATTTTAATAGTGTCATAAGGGGTGGTTAATTACCACTTGAGTTAAATTACCCCTGGGTTAAGAATTCCTACTTTGTCCTCATGGTGGTGGCACATGCTGTAAGTCTCAGCACTCAGGAGACAGAGCAAGATGGATCTCTCTGAGTTTGAGACAAGCTTTGTCTACAGAGTTAGTTTCTGGAAGGATAGAAACTATCCTTTCATAGAGAGAAACCTTGTCTTGAAAAAAGTCTTAAATTTAATTCCACTGTGAGCAGAGGAAGCAAGCAGTCAGAAGATGCACACAGAAGCACAGCTTGGGTAAAGGATGTTTTGACAGCAGTCTTGCATTCAGAGTTTTGTTCACATTGAGAGTAAGGCATTATGTGTTTGTGCACTCATAGGCTACCTACTATGATCAGTTATTCTGTGCTCTTTGTCACAGTTGGTTCCTGGATCTGTCAGCTAACTCCCAAGGCTGCATGACTAGGCAGTGAAATGCCGCATGCAACTTCTGTGGTCCTTTGCAACACGTGGCAATTATCTCTGCGAATTACCCGAATGCCCAAACTTGGGCCTTCATACAGAAATAGAAGCTGAGAACTTGCCTAGCTGATCTCTCACAGGAATCATCTGTCCATTAAGAGCAAAAATTGATGAGGAATCAAGAAAAGTATCTAGTGCCATTTCATTCTAATACTTTAAATTTATGAGATACATTTTTACTTAAAATAGCTTGATAATTTTCATTTCTTCATCAACTACCATATTATTTTTTTCTAAATTTTATATGCACTGGTATTTTACCTGCACGTGTGTCTGTGTGAGGGTGCTGAATACCCTGGAGCTGAAGTTCCAGATATTTGGAAGCTGCCATGGTGGCCCTGGTCTTTTGGAAGAGCAGACCATGCTCCTAACCACTGAACCACCTCTCCAGCCCCTCAATTACTATATTCTTGACAGCAATACATATTTACATTTATTTTCTACATTTCTGGGGATAAGTGTTTTGGATATTATTTGGGAGGTTTTAGTTTCTTATGAATATTTTTTGGTAAAATTCAAATTTAATAATTATATGAATAATTTGTTATGCCTATATACTAATCAAGAGTTACATATAAAAATAAAATAATACTAATTTCTATTTGTTCAGACCAATAAGTGGTCCAGTTATATCCATATTCTAATTGTGTCTAATTTATGTGTAGCTTCAAATTTCATCAGTAGAGAACCATACAGAGTGATAGGTTTAGGTACATCTAACATAGTCTTATTCAGAGTTGAAGACTGCTTGGGTCCACCAATGTACACACAGGCATTAGCACACAATACAGTAAAACACATTTAGTGTTGAAAGTATACTAAGACAATCTATTACTTTCTTGATAGAGCACTTCAGATCCTGTACTTTGAGACTATCATCATATATGCCAGTTTTCCTTGTAGGCTACTTTACACATGCAAGGTTTGGAAAAAGAAACGATCTATTACATGATAAGATAGATTGAAAAGTTAAAGTGAAGACTTTCCTGTTGTCATGTAGCATGACACAGTGAAGAGAAGATATGCAGGTCTCAGAAGATACGGCCCTTCTGCAGTCTACCTGTGTGCCGTAGATGAGCGTACTCATAACCCTGACCCAGTTTCAACTCCTGTGTAGCTGTGAAGCTCCAAAGAGAATGCATGTGAACTGCATACTTGCTTTCAGATACAAGGAGGCTTGCTTCTTTTCTCCTTCTAAACCTCCTTTTAGGAAGTGTAGTCTTTTTTTTAACTTGCCATAATTTGTACGGTCTTATATCTGCTAATTATTTTATATAATCTGTTTTTGGAAAAAAGATGAAGACCTTTTAGTTATTTAAGAATATTTGTTTGATGAGTAAAGATTGCATATGTTCCGGGCGTGATGACTAGTGATACGTTGAGCTTGTATTGAGTAAGAATTAACACAATCGAATTAGTCAGTATAGCACCACATCTGTGTTACCCAATAATCTCCAGACCTTACCCACACAATGGCAGTACTTACTATTCTTCACACTTTTCTAGATCGGGAAGTCAACTGTGGGTACAGGCCAATATTTTGTCTCTCAGTTATTTATTATAATCTACTTAGATATAAACAATGATTTCATATTAGGAGTATACAATGAATATTGCACAATGTAGCAGTCTTAGAATTTATAGCTAATAAGAACACCTATGAGTACATTTTTTAAAATTTCTTCCTTTTTTTTTTTTTTTTTTTAGGTTCGAGTCTTCACGTCCAAAGGGCCAGGGCCATTTTCTGATATAGTTATCGCTAAAACATCAGGTATTTGTTACCTAAAAATCTGTAAGTGATGATTTGAAAGTATGCATTTTTTGCTGTTAGGTTTAGGAGTAGGAATGCCAGCTCTGGATTAAAAGTTAAGGTCAAATAAAATATGTTTTCCACACCAAAACAGTTTGAAGAAGCTCGGGATCAGAGGGCCTTATAGTTATCCTCGAGTCTGATGTGTTAGACCAATCTGAAGCGCGCGAAGATTTCAACACTGCTGGTGGTTTCTAACCTGAAGCTCTTTTCTTATGTGCACTGTCCACTTACGTTTCATTTTCAGAGATCAAACCATTTCCGTATCTCATATCTCTTCTTGGCAATAAGATTGTGCTCCTAGACATGGACCGAAGTCAAGTTGTGTGGACATTTTCCACGGAGGGAGACATCAGCACGGTGGGGTACACGGCGGATGATGGAATGGGGTATTTTGCTCAAGGAGACTCGCTCTTCCTTTTGAATCTGCACAATCGTTCTAGCTCTAAGGTAGTTTCTTTTGGGATTCTCTTGACGTGAAGGATGTAATTAAGATGACCGGCCAGTGGGTCAACCCTCAAGATTAGGATGATTGAGATAGTCACTAATGTGTGGTCATTGAGCCACACATGTGTAAATACAGAACGAGTTTTGTGCACGTCAGTCAAGACCGGTTGCTAGGTTTTTGCTCCTGGGGCTATTGACACACAGTGACTTCTCTTAGAATGCGTCTCCGAGAGAGTCAGCCTAAACAGAAAAGAGAAAGGTTGCTCTGACGCTTCGTTCATAGTCCTTTGGCCTTGGTGATTTTGAGTCTGTGATGAGGATGCACTTCATGGTAGGTTCTGTACCGAGCTGTTCAGCTGCTCCTCTCTTATTCAAGAGAGGAGAGGCAGAAAGAGACCACAGCCCCACACCCAGTTACCCAGAGGTACCCCCACAAGGTACCCCCTCTAAGGGCTCACCTCCTCCCAGTAGCTACAAGGTTTGGACCATGACTTTACTACATGGGCTTTGCGGGGACCTCCTAGATCTGAACTCTAAGAGGAGGCAAAGCGTTACAGGCCTTGCTCTTCACAAAGCTGGTCCGTGGTTACTCTGAGACCAGGAGGGCAGTATTGCGTAATGACTAAGGGAGGGAGGCTTTACTGTCTGATTTCACGACACTTATTTATGCTCCTTCTGCATAGAGCAGAGACCAGAAGGTATTGAGTCTGTAAGCGGGATCTGACCTTCGGGTTCCCATGGAGATTAAATGAGGCAGTCGATTAGCACACATAGCATAGATGCCCGTCTGTGGTAGCCGTTCACTAAATAGAAATTAACATCAAAGATAGAGTAGCGTAACTGCTGTGCGGAGGCCAGGTTATGATGCTCTGTAGAAAGTCGAAATCTGTTTTGCATAAAGGTGAGCCAGGTGAAGGTGGGGGATAAGAGCAGCAGGGGGCGCTCCAGGACAACGGCAGGGAACCGAGGGCGCCACAGTGTGCTTGGCAGAGGTGAGGAGAAAGAATCTCAGCGGTAAGGGTGATAAATTAGGCTGGGATTGTGGGTGGGATAACAGCCTCCTGAAAGCTAAGAGTAAGCTATTAGAGATATTTAGTGAGTCATTTACTGGTCAAATTGAGAGGTTTTTTTTTTTTTTTTTTTTTTAATTTTAAATCTTTTAAAGTTTTCATTTTATTGTATTCTTTTTTATTTTTTTATTTCTTTATTTCATTATTTATTTTATTCTTTTGTTTCGAGATACAGTCTTACACGGTACTGGCTGGCCTCAAATTAACTATGCAGCCGAGGCTGACATGGAATTCATGATTCTCTTCCTTCCACCTGTTCGGTGCTGGCCTTACGGATGCTCACCACCATGTCCAGTTCCAAATTATGTGTTAGAATGAGCTCTCTTTTAGCACTGGGAGTTAGGTGACAGTGAATGAGAGGAGAAAGGAGGTGACAAGCTGCAGAGGGATTTCCATGCAGACTAGCTCCCCATTTAGTGGTGTGAGAAGAAGGAGACACGTATATTCAGCATGATTCCTTGGGTTAAATGTTGGGCGTCTTTAACAATACAAAGTGCGAGCTACACAGAGGTTTAGGGTAGGGTAGGTCAGTGGGTTCTTAGTTTTGGAGTAACTCGCTTGGAGATGTTCACCAGGCAGTTTGCTATTTGACTCCCCCCACCCCCCACCCCAAGGGAGGAACAGCCCTGCTAGGCCACAGAGGACTTTGCAGCCAGTCATCGAAGTTTTCAAGTGGAAAAGAGTGAGTGACCTTCTTGCTTGTGCTCTCTCTCCTGTGCTAAGCTTTTCCAGGATGCAGTGGTCTCTGATGTTACAGTTATTGCAGTTGACTGGATTGCCAGACACCTCTACCTTGCTCGGAAAGCATCACAAAATGGAACACAGATATTCGATGTTGACCTTGAGCACAAGGTGAAATCCCCTAGGGAGGTGAAGATTTGCAAAAGGCCTTCAACGATAATTTCTTTCTCTATGTATCCCCTTTTAAGGTATGAGTACCTTTATTGTGATGAAATAAATATAGATTGTAATGTAACATCTTTGCTTAATATTAAAAGCCAATAATGGTAAAATAAGATGCTTAAAGGCTCATGGGTAACTTTATTTTTTTTTGTTTTGTAGAGGGTGTTACATAGCTCGAACTGAGCTGGCAATGTAGCCACTGATGACTTGAACTCCCCAATCTTCTGGCCTTAGCTCCCAGTTTCTGGGAGCACATGGTTGGACGCTATATTAAATTTCAGTGAATAATTCTGAGCCAAGATTGGTGATCCATATGTGTCATTTCAATCACTCATAGTCTGAAGTACCTTCAGTGGCCATTAATGGTTGTAAATTCTGAATATATTTTCAGATCTTTCAGTATGCCTTCCTCCACTCTCTATTTCTGTTTTGTAATGTCAATAAACAACCTAGTTTCAAAATGGTCTAGGTCCATGCTTGTGGTGCAATTAAAAATGTCCTTTCTGGGCTGGAAAATTGATACTCAATTTTGTCTTAAGACTATATTATGAAGATATAAGTTTTATGAAGTTGGGTGAACCCAGGTGGAAGCAGAATCAGTGTGTGCCTAAGGCCAACCGCAGTGATTTAACGAGACCACCCCAACTCAAAATGTGGAAAATAAAAGACTAAGAAGTAAGCCTCAGAGACACAATTTCCATCTAAACTCCAGGTTTAACTTCTACCATATAAATTTTTGATCCTACAAGCAACAATTAAGATTATAATCTTAATACATGTTGAAAATTTGGCTAAGCCACAGATAGGCTAATTACCAGAAGCAAAGCCATAACAAATTTTTGTAGCAGTGAGTTTTATGACTGTTCCAGGTGGTAAAGACAAGAAGTAGATAAGACAAGGACAGGGTGGGCAGCAGCTGTGGCCCAACAATAAAATTTATATCTTCATAATATAGTCTTAAGACCTCCATTCAGCAACTGAGTATCAATTTTACAGCCCGCAAAGGACATTTTTAATTGCACCACAAGCATGGACCTAGATCATTATGAAACTAGGTTGTTTATTGACATTATGAAACAGAAACAGAATGGAGTAAGGCATACTAAAAAAATATTTGGAATTTAAAGCCATTAATGGCCACTGAAGGTGCTCAGACTGAGTCCAAGGTCATTAGAGCTCAAGGCTTTGGCTGTAGCACATTAATAATAATAATAATAATAATAATAATAATAATAATAATAATAAACATTGGCAATATTGAGTTGGAATTCCTGTGACCTTCTCCATTTCAGAAGGAAGTTATTTGGTGTTTGGGCATGCTTACTCCCTAATTAAGCTGCATTTGTCCACTCATTATTATACATGAATCATCTTCATTAGAAACTAATATTTGAAGTGACATATTTTCTTCATTAAATTGAAGTTATTTCCCCCTTCCTCCTTATAGTCGCTTATATTGGACAGAAGTTTCGGATCTGGGCCATCGGATGTTCTACTGCAGTATTAGCAATCACACCTTGTGCCCCGTTCTACATGCCTCAAACCAGTATGGAAGGAGCCAATGTTCTTGTAATGTGACAGAGTCTGAGTTAAGTGGAGCAATGACTGTTGATACCTCTGACCCAAAGAGACCATGGATATACTTTACTAAAGGACGAGAGATCTGGGCCATGGATCTGGAAGGATGTCAGTGTTGGAAAATCATCACGGTACCTGCCATCCTTGGTAATGTTCTGACGTGTGCATTTCTATTCTTCTTTTTGATAGGTTTCATGTAACCCAAGGTGGCCACAAATTCACTCTGTAGCCAAGGATGCCTTGAATTTCTGATCTGCCTTACTCTACCTCCCAAGTGCTTGAATTTCAGATGTGGGCCATCGGGTTTAGTTTCATGAAGTGCTCGCTATTGAACCCAGCAGTACGTGCTAGACAATCTCAACTGAGCTCTATTTCCAGCATGTTTATCATCATTTATAACAGATGATATTATCATCATTTATAACAGCTCTGGAAGAGCTGGCAAAAAAATATCTCCCCAAACTTTCCTGTTTTTTAGGAAGAGCTTACAGGGAATGGGGAGATGGCTTAGTTAGTAATACACTTACTGTACAAAAATGAGAACCTGAGTTTGAATCACTAGCACTCACATAAATAGCAGTTGGTGATGCATACCTGTAGTCCTGGCAGGAGGGGGGTGGAGACAGGAAGATCCTTACAAACTGCTGGCCTGAGCTGATGTCTAGCAGAATTGATGAGCTCCGGGCTTATAAATTTTAATCGCACAAACAGCAATTAAAATTATAATCTTAGCTTGGCATGATGACACACACTTTTAATTCCAGCTCTTGGGAGGCAAAAGCAGGCAAATCTCTGTGAAGTTGATACTGGGTTAGCCTACATAGTGAGTTTCAGGATAGCCAGGGCTACATAGAAAGACCCTGTCTAAAAACAACAAGAAGAAACCAAGCCAAAATAAAACAAAAGAAATTATAACCTTAGTCTAAATTGAATTTGACAAATCTGAGATAGGCTAGTTACTAGAAGGAAACCCATAGCAAATTGACATCTGACCTCTACATATGCACAAAAGTGCATGCGTGCATATGTATGCACACAGGCATGCCTACAAACACAAGCATGAACACATATACCATCAAACATATACACAAAGTAAAAAATAAAAAGTAAAAGGAGGATTATTGTAGGTTTGGATAGACTGATCAACCGTGAAACACTTTTCTTAAAAGTGTGAGGACCTGAGCTTGGGTGTTTGGCGCATAGTGTCACATGTGTCTGTAATCCTGCAGTGGATGATAGGAAGCAGAGGCAGGTGAACCCCTGGAAGGTCAGTAGCCAGCTAATATTAGCTATTTGGTCATGTTCCATACAAATGGAACTGGTAATGAGAGTGTTTACTTTGACTTCACTGGGCCAAGAAACAAAGTGAGAAAACACTGTTGAGCCAAATGGCATCAAATACCTTTTTATATTGAAAGATTTAAAACCCAGCAGTTTGCCTAGACACTGCAGAAACATAACTTCATATATTATTTAGAGAAGAAAACTCTGATGTCTTAGGACATCTACTTTTACGTTATTTTGTGTATTTCTTTATCTTTTTTTTTTTTTTTTTTTTTTTGCTTTGTGTTTCGAATCAGCAGGAAAACAAATCGATAGCTTAACAGTGGATGGGGAATTTATATATTGGATCATCACAAGCAAGGACCAGACACAGATTTATCAAGCAAAGAAGGGAAGTGGGGCCATCCTCTCGCAGGTGATGGCCCCCAGGAGTGAGCATGTCTTGGCTTACAGTTCAGCTCTGCAGCCTTTTCCAGGTAACAGTGTTGTTCAGACAACACACTTGTTTCCTTCCAAGGCTGCCTGTCCCTCTGGTCTCTGTGTTAGGCCCTGGCTTCTACCCCATGCTCTGTCAAGCCTGCCTACTGTTTATGCTGACTCACAAATGTACACAGCTTTGACTACAGTAGGCAACAGTAGCTGTGGGAGCCCAGGACCCGTTATCTCCACCTGTTCTTGATCCCTTCTGTCTGTTTTAGGCCTTTCAGTGGTGTCGAAAGCACTTCAAAAAGCCTCCGCTTTCTTTCAAGGTCAAGTGCTGTGTTTGTTGAACTATCATGTGTTAGGTATTACATAGATTAAGTAGACCTGTGTTGTAAGGCATATTATAAGAAGTGCTTTAGAAAGAAGGAAAATGACTTGGGTCAGAAACTCAGGTCTATGTAATGAAAGAGGAGTGTCAGAGAAGCAAGTAATAGAGGGAAAACAAGAATGATTATTTCTTTGAGTTGTTCTAAATGTAAGACTGTTCACAATAATAGCAACAGTGAATTTCCTTATGCATGCTTGTGTGTGTGCTTATATGTGTGTGGATATGTTTTTATAGCTACTTTGCTTGTTTTTCAACTTGTATAGAAAATAAAAAGCACATTGATTTGTAAGTGACGTGATCACTTACACAGCAAATCTGGAAGAGCTGGCAAAAAATATCTCCTCAAACTAGTAAGTGATCTGGCAAGTCTTCAGAATGCGGCAAAATTAACTTTTCAGCAACAAAGTCAACTTTACAGTAAAAATAAGGCTATTTATATCATCATCTCCCCAAATGAAACACTTGTATGTAAGTCTAACAAAATATGTACAAGTGCTGTATGGTGAAGTCTACAAAATTCTGGTGGGAGTTCTCAAAGGAAAGTGAAATAGATGTTCACATAGTTTATATTAGGAATATGAGGTCTATTTGTCGGTTCAATGCAGTCTCCTCAGCAACCAGGAAATGATCTTGTGGACACTGACAAGCCAAGTGTAATGTTTATATGAAGATCAAAAGAGAAGCTAATATAGTATCAAAGGAAAAGAATAAACTTGAGAAGTATGAGCTGACCTGAAGACTTTTTATAAAAGTTATAGTTATCAGGGCCCCATGACATTGAAAGATAGTAAATACAGCCAGATAAACAGACTATAACTAGAGAGCTTGGAGTCAGACCCTCACAAATATAGTCAAGGAAATCTTTGACAGAGGGATAAAAGTAATATAAGGGAGAAAGAAGAATATTCCTAACAAATTAAGTAGGAAAAAACCTGTTACGCAACACAAAAGTTAGCTAACAATGGAACCACATACCTAAAGGTAAAATGTTTGGAGCAAAAATAGAAGGGAGCGATGAAGCTGTGGAAAGATGTGGAGAAAACACACAAGCATAGAAGGCAATAAAAGAAACCAAACTGAAAAAGTCACCTATGGTGATCACTTTCTGTGATTCCAACTGCATGACCTTCTGCAAATGCAGAAACCATAGCCACAGTGTGCTGGTTTGTTTTTGTCAACTTGGCATAAACTAGAGTCGCTTGGGTAAAAGAGAACCTCCGTGGAGGAATTATTTCCTTCAGGCTGGCCTGTGGGCCATTTATTCTTCTTTTATTGAAAATAGGCTTTTTCCTCATTTAATGTATTCTGATTACGATTCCCCCCCCCCCCATCCCTTTACTCTTGTCTCCCATCTGGATTCACTCCTTTTTTGTCTCTCAGCATTTTCTTGGCTGCTATTTGATGTAGGAGGGCCCAGCCCTCTGTGGGCGGTGCCATCCATAGACAGATGGGGGAGTATAAAGAAGGCAGGAGAGCAAGCCAGAGGAAGCAACACAGTAAGCAGCATTATTTTTCAGTCTCTTGCTTCAGTTCCTGTCCTGGCTTCCCCAAATAACGGACTGTAACGTTGAAGCCAAATAAACCCTTTCTTTCAGAAGCTAATTTCTGTAAGCATTTCTCACACCAACTAAGAGGCAATCTAGGATAGACAGGCCATAATGAAATCATTGGTCACTAGGGATTGAGGGGAAAAGGGATACTAGGTGGAGTGCAGATTTTGTTTAAGGTAGTGAAACGCCTCTGTATGAGACTGTAAGAGTGGAGTCATCCCATAAATTTTCTAACTCATCAAACATACAGCACGAGAGAAGCCTGATGTAAACTACAGCCTTTAGGTAATAAAATTTTCCACTAGACTCTGATGGTAAATCAGGTGGTGCTTTGATGACGATTATTGGTAACAAGGGAGTCTATGCATTTATTGAGACATATGAGAGGGCTCTCCAATTTCATAGCAGTTTTACTGTGAACTCCAAACTGCATTAGAAAATATTGTTGATTAAGAAACCAAATACACCTAAAGAAGCTAAGCAAGAAGGAGGACGCTGGGTAAGAATGCTCAATCTTCATTCAGAGAGGCAAATGGGATAGATATCAGAAGAAGGTGAAAATAAGGAACAGGACAGGCCTGTTCCTACCACAGAGGGCCTCTGAAAGACTCTACCCAGCAGAATATTAAAGTGGATGCTGAGACTCATAGCCAAACTTTGGGCAGAGTGCAGGAAATCTTATGAAAGAAGGGGGAGATAGAAAGACCTGGAAGGGTCTGGAGCTCCAAAAGGAGAACAATCAAACCAAAAAATCTGAGCCTAGGGGTCTTTTCTGAGACTCTTACTCCAACCAAGGACCATTCATGGAGATAACCTGGACCCCTGCACAGATGTAGCCCATGGTAGCTCAGTCTCCAAATGGGCTCCCTAATAAGGGGAGCAGGGGCTGTCTCTGACATGAACTCAGTTGCTGGCTCTTTGATCACCTACCTGGAGGGGGTGGGGGTGGGGAGCAGCCTGATCAGGCCACAGAGGAAGACTATGAAAAATAGTCCTGATGAGACCTGATAGGCTAGAGTCAGATGGAAGGGGAGGAAGTCCTCCCCTATCAGTGGACTGAGGAAGGGGCATGGGAGGAGATGAGGGAGGAAGGATGGGATTGGGAAGGAACGAGGGTGGGGCTATAGCTGGGATACAAAGTGAATACAGAGAAGGCTATACAGAGAAACCCTGTCTCAAAAAACCAAACCAAACCAAAGAACAAAAAATCAAAATGCACTCTATTTGATGTTGAATAACAGCCCCAACACATATGTAGCAGCAGAGGTCCTAAGGGTAGCACGAGTTTTCAGTATAGAAACTGCAGTCTAAAATGCTATCATTAGCATGGAGAGAAGCATCCCCTTACAGTGCTGTAGGTCCATTTGGGAAGAGAACTTTACCTCCATCTGCTGGAGATTTGGGGCAATTACCAGTTTTTGCTCCTAAGGTATTGAGCATCTTCAAAATTTATGAGATTTGAAAAATGGAAGAAGTGTATAGCTGGATCTTGAGGAAGCACTATTTCTAATTGTCTGTGGAAATGGCAGATTGATTTCCAAAGTTGTTGTTCAAGTTTACATTCACACCAGCAATGGAGGAGGGTTCCCCCTTTCTCCACAACCTCTCCAGCATGTGTTGTCACTTGAGTTTTGATCTTAGCCATTCTGATGGATGTAAGCTGAAATCTCAGAGTCCTTTTGATTTGCATTTCCCTGATGACTAAGGACGCTGAGCATTTCTTTAAGTGTTTCTCCACTATTTGATATTCCTCTATAGAGAATTCTCTGTTTAGCTCTGTACCCCATTTTAAAATTGGATTACTTGATTTGTTGCTTTTTAACTTCTTGAGTTCTTTATATATTCTGGATATTAGCCCTCTGTCAGATCTAGGGTTGGCGAAGATCCTTTCCCAGTCTGTAGGCTGTCGTTTTGTTTTGATGACAGTGTCCTTTGCTTTACAGAGCTTTTCAATTTCATGAGGTCCCATTTATTGATTGTTGCTTTTAGAGCCTGTGCTGTTGGTGTTCTGTTCAGGAAGTTGTCTCCTGTACCAATGAGTTCAAGGCTCTTCCCCACTTTCTTTTTTAACAGATTTAGTGTGTCTGGTTTTATGTTGAGGTCTTGATCCACTTCGATTTGATATGCTCAAGTACACAACAAGGACATTTGCTCAACTATGTTCATAGCAGCTTTATTTGTAATAGCCAGAGTCTGGAAACAACCCAGATGTCCCTCAATTAAGGAATGGATACAGAAATTGTGGTACATTTACACAATGGAATACTACTCAGCAATTAAAAACAAGGAAATTATGAAATTTGCAGGCAAATGGTGGAAACTAGAAAAGATCATCCTGAGTGAGGTATCCCAGAAACAGACACACATAGTATATACTCACTTATAAGTGGATATTTGACATATAATATAGGATAAACATACTAAAATCTGTATACCCAAAGAAGCTAAGCAAGAAGGAGGACACTGTGTAAGATGATCAATCCTCACTCAGAAAGGCAAATGGGGATGGACATCAAAAGAGGGAGAAAACATGGAAAAGGACAAGGAGCCTACCACAGAGGGCCCTGAAAGACTTTACCCAGCAGGGTATCAAAACAGATGCTGAGGCTCTTAGCTAAACTTTGGGCAGAGTGCAGGAAATCTTATGAAAGAAGGGGGAAATAGAAAGACCTGGAGGTTGACAGAGCTCCACAAGGAGAACAACAGAACCAAAATATCTGGGTCTTTTCTGAGACTGATACCCCAACCAAGAAACATTCATGGAGATAACCTAGAACCCCTGCACAGATGTAGCCCATGACATCTCAGTGTTCAAGTGGGTTCCCTAGTAAGGGAACAGGGACATTCTCTGACAGGAACTCAGTGGCTGGCTCTTTGATCACCTCCCCCTGAAGGGGGAGCAGCCTTACCAGCTCACAAGGGAAAGCAATGTAACAAGTCCTGATGAGACCTGATAGGCTAGGGTCAGATGGAAGGGAGGAGGACCTCCCCTATCGGTGGACTTGGAGAGGGGCATGGGAGGAGATGAAGAAGGGAGGGTGGGATTGGGAAGGAATGAGGGAGGGGGCTACAGCTGGGATACAAAGTGAATATACTGTAATTAATATAAAAAATA